CAACAGAGAAAAACAACTTATCAATGTAAGACAATAATATTGTATTTCCGTATTCTTTTAGAGATTTTAGACAACGATTACGTTACAAAGTTATTTTTGATCGACAGACAGGACGATAATCTTTTTGTATGATAAACTCATATTCCCTGCGATTTTGTCACCGGAATTAAAAAAAAAACTTAATTAAGTAGCTTACTAGTTTCCACCAAGTTGTGCCAGCCGTTTTAGAAATATGGAGTAGCAAACTTCCATCCATCCATCATAACTTTTACATTTATTTTTATATGAATATTATGATGTTTGTATGTATGACTATTCAATATTTACCTCCTATACCCTAAAATCGATTATCAGATTTCGTCGACTGAAGTATAAATCAAGTTAAACCATGTTTTTATTATATGTTTTTTTATCATTAAAAATATGGTAGTTCGTTACATGTAATACTTTTCAATTTAACTTCGTTAACTGGAATTGCCTAATAATATTACATAATAGAGGTAGAGTTGGGATAATTAGGGTTGCTTCTGCATATTTTGGGAAATAGCTGTATTAAAGTTCTATTAATAAAAGGTCACCGCTAACCCTGGCCGGTTAGTAATTCCGTTACACGTACGTTGCTTATTTAATTAGATCTAAACAAGATAATTCACGGAAAATCGGGCAATATTTAAAGTAACACAACAATATTATTTTTACACAGTTATAATTATTTAAATTAAAAAATGTTATAAAGAAATAAGATTCGATTTTACTTTTTTTATTTTATTATTTACTTTTTTTTAATTTCACTCAGGCAAAGTCGCGAGCAACATCTAGTAATTAATAAGAGTATTATGCAGCATTTTGATGTCCTTATTTTTAATTTTTTTTTTAATATTTACATTTTCATATTTTTTACTTTGTATCTAATGCCAGCAATTCAGTGCGATTTTATTTATAAAAGCTTTAACAAAGTGCCAACTCGTATAAGATATCTTTTCAGTTCGTTCTGTATTTTGCAGCGTGTCTAATGACTTCCTTCATTCAAGTGATGTTTATTTCCGTACTTCTGCACTTCCTTTTAAGACATTTATTTCCTTTAACACTAAAGTATTTTATAAGACTTTAATTAGTAAATACAACTTTTAAGGATATGGATTTATAATATTAATTTAATTGAAAGTACAATAAAACTAAAACATTAAGGTGCTAATGGGCATCGCTTTGTAGAGAATTTAAAAATGGAAAGAAACATAAAACCTACTTCGAATGAGAAAATATCAATGCCAGCTGCCGTCCCTAAACATAACCAAATATCCGGTTAGCAAGATCCATAAAAGTATTTACACATTTATTATTACTTAACAAACAAAAACAACACTTAAACCTTATATTAAGCGAGTATATGTAACATTTATTGACTTTAAGTTTAAGTTCATAAAATAATTGAACGAAATAGTACTACTATGATAAAATTGTCTTAACTAGAAAACATCACAACGTTTCTTACATAATTTCTAAGAGCGTTAGGTTAGCTGAGAATGAAACAAGGAAATGTCGTCATATATTTATCCGTAATATTAATTCTTACCTCTTTGTAACGCCAATATCCCCGTTTCAAACATTAATCGGTAGTCGCCGCTTTCGCAACATCCTCTGCGAAATATAAACCGACGCATTAATCATTTCCCTTCTTACAAAATAACATTAACAAGAATTTATTTAATAGCCCGAATTATAATTACATGTCTTTTATTGCGTGTTCAATATTAAATCAATTTAGTACACACGGCAACATTTATAAACGCTGAATAGTCTATCGTTAGTAAATCGATAAGTATCGTGAAACGGAATTATTCGTCGACTCCAAGATGTCTATGAAGATTTAGTTTAAATCTATGTATTAACTCTTTAAAAAACTGACAGTTATGTGAAGAAATGACATTTCCGCTTAGAGTACTAAAGAAAACAATGCAACCATACAACACAGTTCGTGGGTATTCAAAAATAAAGCAGTATATTTGGAGATGCGTCATTGTTAGTAAACCAGGACGGAGTGGTATTCTTTGCAACTTACATCGTTATAAGCGAAAGCCGACCCGCCTACTAAGCGTGCTAAATCTGCCTCTTAAACTTTTTCAAAGTAGCCTTTCCAAACAGAACTTAAATAATTCCGTCACGTGATCGGGCATATTATCGAAGTTGTAAACTGCTTAAGGTCAAATGACTTAGAATACTGAATACTAAAATATATTTTATACTTCAATTTAAAAGAAATCTTTCATTGAATTTAATTTAAAACTATAAAATGACAGATCCCAAAAATGTTTCCCTTTGACAATTTTACTTTGACAGCTAGGAAAATTATTTACGATATTTAAAAAAAAACAATTACTAAAATAATAAAACTTAATACAACAAGAGTATTAACTAATATTCCATATAATTAATACATATACATATTTAATATAAATAACAAATCAGTAATAAAACTACATACCTACAAATATATTACGAGCTACAAATTCTTTAGCCATGCGTCCTAGTACCGGGTTTGATTTTAAAATCAGCGATCAAAACCGGCTTCTCCGTATGATGTCATCGTAATGAAAAGGTTACGGCAACGAACAATAATCTTTACTTACAGTCGACCTCTCAGATATTGCACAGACAAGATAAATCTGTGGTCATAGATCAGACAATCATAAGTGCATTTTTGCTCAGTATGATTTATTAATATAGGTAGAATCTAATTTAATTTATCATATTCTGACCTATGGCCTCAGAAATAATATGACACTTCTTGTCTAAATTATCGCGTTTACGAAACTGCTTTGTCTAGGATTTCGGATGCCAATGTTAAACTCTATTGTTAGCTCATGATTACGTTATTTTTACCCATAAATAAGGCAGTATTGCTTTATAATATTTATGTTACTATATACCAATACATCGTAACCAGATACATAATTTCAGTATTATAGTTTTAACATATTAAAATTAATGTTTTTAATTTTGTAAATACATAGACATATTTCAACCTATATTTTAACAGCACCGTTAGAGTATTGACAACGCGTACATGGAATTATACAACGTGAAAATTATTGGATATTTTATAACTTAAGTCACGAAACGACGCCAAACGCAACGTTAGACGGCCGCCCTCGCCCCCGTTCTACGGTCACTAAATGAAATTTGGCTTCTCTTAACGCCAATTACGAGCGTACGTGACTATTAAATAGTTAGAATTAGCTGCCTCCAAAATTTATTAGCTTACAACAAATAAAATACGTTTTAATTCTTTTTTCGTGACTAGACTTGGTTATTACAACTAACCTAATGATAATTTTTGAAATACTTTTTTCTTTTAAGTCCTAACTTATACCATAATACCAAGGAAAAGAAAGCTAAAAGCATCCAAACGAATTGAGTATCTCCTTCTTTTGGGAAGTCGGTAAAAAAAAAACATACAGACGAAATTAGTACCTTTTGGATGGTCGATCAACAATTAAGACAATTTAAAACTTCATACAATAAAAAAAAATGTTTTTGTTTTATTTTATTTATTTACAATAAAAATTTGTTTAAACATCACATTTAAATAGTCAGTAATAAAATTATACACATAGATGAATAAAAAATTGAATAAAAATGATACTTTTATCTCAATAAGTAATGCAATTCCTATTTACATTTGCTTCGGTCTACGCCGGCTTCATCCAGCTCTGAATATCTGAATAAACTTAATTATCCGTCGCCAATCAAAACGGATACGAATTGAAATATCAATTCAGTAAACAATCAACGCTTAAACCAAATGAGCGCGACTTTACTGTGAGTTCGTTTTGTTGCAAAAAGTTAATTAATACCGTACTTACTGTATGTTTTTTATCGTAATATTTAATTCTGTTTTTACATCATAATGTGGCAAATGAGCAAGCGGCCACTGAATTCAGCAATATCTCCGCTGGCCATAAACAAGTGCATTGACTACCTTTAATGATACCTAATATTATAAATGCGAAAGTTTAGATGGAAGAAAGTATGTTTGTTAGAGTTTGTATCCTAAACGGATTAAGGGATTTCGATGAAATACCATTTTACTTCTTACTAATATTTTAAATCCGAAAGTTTGGATGGATGGATGGAGGTTTGTAAGAGTTAGTAACTTAAACTACTGAATGGATCTCGATAAAACTTGGCAACATAAGAAACAGAAAAGTAAGTAGCCTATATCTATCTATAGGCTACTTACTTTTCTTTTTTTAATACCACGCGGACGGAGTCGCGGGCGATCGCTAGTATGTTATAATTTGTTGACCGATCGATATCCAAGATGGTCGTCGATTGCATTACTAATTAAATTAAATCTTAATAGAGAACATTACTTATAATATCGGTTTATTAATTAATAGCATCTATTAGTCAAGATCTCGCTGACATCGCTTAACAAGCTTATCCTTGTTAGCAAACTAACTTTGGCGGATAACCGACGAGTTTCTGAAACACATTTCTGAAGTTCCAATTTCAGATGCCAAAGATTTCAACTTAGACTGAATCGCTAATAGATGATTCTGAAATACTATAGTAAAATCCCAATATTAAAACTAAAAAAAAGAAAATAAATGATATACAGATTTTAGTTTTAACTAAATCTATATTTGTATTATTAATATTTTTAAAAAGAAAGATTTGTATTTTTGGACTTTTGTGTTGAATTAACTCAAAAACTACCGGGCCGATTTCAAAAATTCTTTCACCATTAAAAAGCTACGTTATCAGTAAGAAACATAGGCTATATTTATTAATATTTTTATACTTCGTAAAGACGAAGTCGCGAGCGATAACTAGTTTAAAATATTCACACTTTCATAGTTTACAAACTTACAACATACAATCTCCTATTAGCAAACTTGTAGATCATTTTACTTTTTTGTCTATTGACAGATTTTCTACAATAAGGTAACATTCGATTTATACTCTGTGCTTTATTAATTGAAGTTACCTTGTTTCAGATACGATGTTGTCAAGGCGTGGAGCGACAATGTTGGTCGCCGCGCTCTTGCTGTTTCTAGCGCCGCCCACACTGACGGAGGTAAGTCAATGTTGCGTTAGTATTGCCATACATAACAATGTCATACACCCACATTACTTTTGAAACTGAAAGTACAATGTTTCTTTTATAATTTAAACTAACTTCAAACAGGTAGATCCGTAAAAAATGTTCCACTTTGTTGGAGGTAATAAATGTTAATCAATAATCTTTCGCGGTCCATGTTTCCAAAAAAATCCTGTAATACAGTTTCTTACACAAGTAAGTACTTACAGAAAGTTATTTTAAATGCAAATAAAAACTATAGACACATATCAAAACCATCAGTCATCAACTTTCTCCTAACAACAGGAAGACATTTTTCCTTTGATCTAACCGCATATATATATAACCGCTGCATATTATAACAGTTTAAAAGTTAATAAACATAAATCTACATGATTTACAGTATATGTTAAGATTAATCAATTAGAATTTCAATTAATGTCAACATTATATATAATTTTTAATTAAAACTAACACATTAAGGGAATATAACCCTAAAGTCAAAACGTGCAACCACTATTTACCTATAAACAGGACATTTTAGAGTTTGTACCGACCATTCGCAAGCTTTATAAGGAAATAAAGTTCGCAATTGCAGCGCTAAGTAACATCCTGAACAGATGTACACTAGTATTGCTGTACAAAATGTAATTTTAACCTACCAAAGATATTATTTCCGATACGAAAACTTTTGTAACAAAAGAAAGTAAATTTTTATAAGCAGTGTAATAATTTAGTGCGAAACGAGTTATAATTACCTATTTAAGTATGAGAAATTTATTATTTATTATTCAAGTTGTTACCCTGCAGATAAGTAGAATTATGATATAAAAGGGTTGACATATAGACATATGTCTAAGCTAGAATGTATTTGAAACATTGTCTAAGTTTTTATGGCTCTAACAATTTGATCTTTATTATAGCAGTCATACCATATCAAAACATTGAATTCAAACTTATAACCCTGAGAAAAAACAATAGAGGTTCATTAAAAATAATTGCATATATCATCCAATTCTTCCGAATTATTTTCAATCAATCTGAGCGGATGTTCATCTAGCTAATTCTTTCATACGAGTTGCCAAACGTCTTTTGTATGGTAAACACGTAACCAAGCGTATCTTTTGTATTATTACGCAAATTATACAAGACGAAAAGTAATTGTATTTTGTATTAATAATAATGTACAGTGTTAAAAATGAACATTATTGCAAACATCTTAATTCTTATATCAATTAAATGATAAAGAATCAATGATATGACATCGTTACAGTGACCTGCTATTTTGACCTGAATAGTTCTTATTAAAAATACTGAATTCGCAACTATTCTTTTACATAAACCTCGCCACTGTCGTTTAGTTTTAACTGAACATTAGGTACCGATGTTCGGTTCAAAATCTCGGTTATGACTGAATCTATGATGCAGAATAAAAAAAGACCATATTGGAATATTAACTTTGATTGCACTATCTAAATTCTAAAATCCTTACTTCGTATACTCGTCTTGTAACGGTATTTGTAAATACCAATTGAAATAAAAAATCTCAACATGTCACATTGTCAAAACAGACATGATTTTTTACGTAAAATGTTATAAATATAAGAAAAAAATATTACATCATTTGAGCGTACATGTTTTAATTTTTATGAGACATAAAATTTAACAACAGGACTCCGCCGTCAGCCGTAAGTTAATGGCTGCGGGCGCTGAACATTTTGCGCGGGGAATTAATTAAATTTATCAGTAATACACTCTCCCGCCTGTCGCCGTACCAAAATATTTAATATTTATTACAACTTAATCCTTTTACCTTGCTTTAATAAAATATTATAATGAATTACATCTTCCTGATGTTTTCATTTGCTATATTCATTAAAAGAAGTGAAGTAAAGTAATACATTTTAATTTAACGCAATTTGCAGAGATTTCACAAAATTTGTATTCGTAAACAAAACCAGAACATACATACATTTAAATCTAAACAACTTTCATGTTATAGCATGCCAATTTCTTTGTCTATATAGAAACGGACTAGACATAGAGCCATCGTTACATTGAATAAATTCTGACACTTGCAAGGGTTAAGTACAGATAATCACACATGTGCATACCATGCTGGCATATCTTTATGAGCACGAACTCCAAAAATTATACACTTCCACAAAACGAACACACAAGCATGTTTAAAACTTATTTTTCGTCTGCATTGATAGTTGTTAGGATCCTGTCATTTAAAAGTCAAAGGCCAATGTAAATTGAAGAGTGAGTGAATGGATTATTTTGTAACTAGTTGTACAAACAGTCACCGAGTTTACTCCAAATGTTTGGTTTAGTAAAAGCGATGTCATATTGGCGTATTTACAAATCACAGTTTGCATATCGTATGGCTGTAATCAAGTTCCAGGGTTGCATTCAATCACTGTACATTATTTAATATATCAATCAATCTGACAAACAAACTCGAATCATGTTACATGAACGTGTAAACAAACCATTTGCACGAAGAAATTTTGGCTTAAATTATTGTAAAATGGATGTTATTTAATGTATTTTTCTCATTTCAATATGTAAACTTACTAATATTAGGCGAAAGTTTAGATAGATGGATGTTTCTTAGAGTTTGCTGCATAATCAGCTGAACGGATCTCAATTAAATTTGGCACACATGTAGAGGATAATCTGAAAGTACACATGGTCTACATACTTTTATTTTTTATCCCACGCAGTACCGCGGGCGAAAGCTAGTGATGTATGAAAGCTTGTAATGTTTGATTCAGTGTATTGTGTGAAAAATGACATCCACATTAGCTGAAGGGAGTGAATTTAGCTAATTAGCTAATAATGACTGGTGCTATAGATGTACGGAAGACTTGTACATAATATGAACTGTCAGTAGGGACAAGGGTATGATGATGATTTAGTAATAATGATCTACGCTGTATGAATGTATCACTTTAAAAATATTTCAGACGAGAATACATGAACAACTAATTTATTACTGCCTAATGAATTGAGAAACTTCTGGTTATTGAATATCATCAATCATTAATATCCCAAAGCGGTGTTCACAATAATATATCACTTAACCATAACTTTTCCCTGACAAAATACCAATACTAAATTGTTGCTGTCTCTATTTGAAGCAATAAGTGTGAGAGGCATAAGTATATAATATCATTTTACAGGTTTTTGACAGTCGAAACCACAAGAATCGTCAACATGGACGTTACATAACGACTTTCAAATAAATTTAGAATTAGCATGCCGTAATACGTATAGCCCTTTTCAAAAATACCGACGCGTGATTCGAGTTAGCATTTTTCATCATTTAAAATTCATTTCTTAGAAGGGATATTGTTAGCTTTATTGGTATTTTTTACCAAGAAATTTCAGATTTTCCGTGCTCATAAGATCTCTGACCTGAATTAATGTCAACCCTCATCTGGCAGGCAATGGCCGGGATTGACGTCAGTCGGCAGACAAAAGAGATGCTCTAGAGAAATGTCACTAGATAGCCCTTATACAGGCGGCCTACCGTAGTATAAATAAAATACAAATATATTGCTTTCTGAATTATATACGACTCAAAACATACCTATGGTACATTTTAAATTAAATAGGCAATGAAAAATAGTGTTTTAGGTTTACGGTGACTACCAAATATTTCAACAACTTTCCAAATTTAAAACGATATTACAAATTCGATTTTTTTTCTATTTAAACGATTTTTAACCCTTAATTCGATAGTGCCAGTGTGAATAGCAACTAATTTAAAAATGTACTAGACTACATTAGAGATATACACGTGAGATTTTGATATTAGTGTTTAAAACAGTATTTTTTTAATAATGCGTAAGATAACTTTAATCTTGTGTCATAAAGCTATGCAGTTTTCAATCGATGTTTGATTGTCTATCGTTAAAACCGAGCGGTCACGGGTGGCGGCCGTCCTTGCTCCAACTTTCCCCGCTTGAGCAAGCCTTAAAAATGTTTCAATTATCACGATAACGTTGTCTTATACACGATAATAACTTTATAAAAACGATTACGTTAGAATTACTATTGTTCAGTTATCTTTCATTTTCTAAGAGCGACAAATTACTATGTAATGTATAAACATTATTGAAATAACTGAGTGTACAATAAACATTTTAGGCATGTGTAACATCGAAAATTAACTTTTAAATTTATTTGTTCCAGGGCAATCTCTTCACGTGTCCAAATGGTAAGTGAAATTTTCTTATACATTATATATTACTTAAGATTGTTCTTAAAGAATAACATATATAATATGTCTATATTTCTCTAATTACTCAGTAGCGATGTTTGATTTTAGACAGAGATAATAATAAACTATTGTATAATATAGAATAGAATATTCTGCGATAATATCCAACAAAGTAATTAACCACAAAATTCATTTTAAATTAGTGAGTTTGTGCATCGCGGTATCAAATGGACAGTGGTATGATCGTGCAATCGTATCTAATTATGTCAAACGCAACGATTCGTTAGCGCTGAATAAATAGTTGCATTTGGCAAACAATGGGGAATGAGAGTCTCTACTAGAGCGCACTCTAGCACCCTCTCTAATGTGCTTATTAATTTAACCACGCCCGTGTCGCACCGAACTGAGAGCCACTTTATTTATGTCGGCTCAAGCATTCCTTAAATTAAATTAAATTCAAAGAATGGGCGGTCGAGTTATTCAAATTTATGGAACAGGATTTAACTAAAAGCGTAGGAACTTGGCAGCGCGACGAAATTCGTGTAATGAAAATAGCGTGGACATGTTTTTCTATTTGATGTTATATTTCATTCACACTAACTACGGGACCTTATAAATGTAAAAACGTTATTTCAACTGTCAATATTAATTTGTGACTATGAACATTATACGATCCTTCTATATTTCTAACTAGCTGTTGCTCGCAACTTCGTACACTTGAACTTAAAAAGTAATAAAAAAAATAGCTTATGTTACTCTCACAGATATCACTATACTATACTATCACTAACTAGTAGATAAGTACTGTAACTTATAACTGAGTTATATTTTAAATGAGACCTTTGTAATCACAACATATGATATAAATTTACAACTCCGACTTACAATAAAGTACAATCACGAACGTAAATAACATTGTAAACGAGCATTAGAGCACGGAAGTGTTCTACTGGGGATTCTTCAGTAAGCGGTCTGCGGACCCACATCAAAATTTCAAACCGTGTAATTAGTAGCGTTCTATTAACTTTGGCAAATAATCGGCTAACGACGCGGAAGAGAAGCGATTTACGTAACTTTTTTTATCTTACAGATGTAACGTTTTTAAACAAAGAGATCTTTTTGTGATTATTCAAATTAGTGATTTCAGTTTACTAAATACTGGTTAAAAAAACGTACTTTAGCATTGTATGAAAGTTTTTTACATAATACGTAGCGAGACCAAAAATAATCGTATTTTGTTTTTAAACACTTATCAATCACCTTTTTAAATTGAAATTATAAAATTAAATTGTCTATCGAATGCAAAAATATGTTACTTATCTACCAAACCTCTTACAAGTAAAATATACATTTATTTGCCCTTACAAATTTTTACTCCAGGGTGTTCAAAAATGACAAGTTACGGGTAGCAGATCTTAATTAAGGATCCTTTTTAATTCGAAATTAGCTGAGTACGTGACAGTGACAGTCTGGGGGCGAATGAATTAGGCGGGTCACCGGCTTGCTGATTTTCATCAACCACATAATTAATGCGAGGAAATTGCTTCTCCTCACACACACATACACAAGTGACGGGTTGAGTCGTACGCGTTCATGTAACCGTTAAGTAAACCAGGTTACAGCGTATTAGTTAAAAGGAATTTTAAACCGTAACATGTACCGGATTTATAAAATGATGTAAGCTAACGCCTTTAATGCACAAATAAATATTATTAAAAAAAATCTTTTATTTTCATATAATAGTTAACACATAAATAGAGCACAACGAAAATTGTGGTCGTTAATACATGCGATTAGATCTAAAGCCTATAAATCGGTGTTCTAAAATAATACCAGTAGTAAAATATTGCCGGGTGTTTTTGTACGATTTAAAACTTTACCGGTTTTAATTTTGTCGCAATATGGCGGATTCATCCCGTTGCTGGTGCGGAAGAATGCCGCGTATGTTTTAACGCATTTAACTGAAAGGGATAAAATATTTTGACGTTGCAACTTAATTTTTTTTTTTCAAGCCTTTCAAACGTCATGCGATTTTAGGAATAACTGCTTTAGATTCCATCATTTATCTTGTAAAAAAAATTACTCGTAATTTTAATATCAAATTAATCAGTCAAGTGAACATATAACCTAACATTGTCTAGAACGTATTAATGATGTAATTAAATTGTTAACTATGTACTAAATTAACTAAATGATATATATGTTACATAATTAAATGCCTTTCTAATTACGAGCTTAGCGTAACACAAGTCACTTAACGGCTCTGTATAATGTAATTTACTCAGGGACGGTGAATTTATGGCTACCGAAATAGTGAAGTCAATCCGAGATCGTCACAGACGAGCTTGTAGACAGATTGGACCAATTTCAAGTTGAAATTAACAATTAACACATGCAACCGGGGAGTCGTTACTTGAGGCCTCAGTCGTAACAAGTTTATGTCTCGTCTAACTTGCTTACATTTATCGCTTCCAGCGGGAAGCTTTTAAAAGCTCTGAGAACCTGTTCGTATTATAAATAGCCTACTTGTACATATTAGCGTTAGGTTTAACTGATTTTTTTTTTCATTAGAATTAAGGTGGCTTTTAAAGATATGTGGAAAAGTAATACATTTTTATTAGATTGTTGTAATAATACTTTTTGAAACGTTTAAATTTCGACTCTGTATCTAAATCAGTACAAATGTAAGAAACACCGAATATAAGATCGATGAAAGTTAATTTATTGAGACTAATGATGGTAATATTACGTGTCATTACAACTACTGTACAGCTGCTGATCTAAACAGAACTGGACATTATATTGTCATTTACAACACAGTATAACAAGAAACTAATGGATGTCTTTACTTAATATTATAATCAGATTTCATTGACTAGGTGTTTTATTAAGAGGTATTCCATTCCATTTACTAAGTGTCAATTCTGTCTCTTAGCATTAATTAACACATACAATATTGGAAAATACAAAAGGTTACTTTACTCATACCACAACGTTGATATGTTACCATCACCCTATTGCAGAAGGCCAGTTCATACAAACGCTTCTATAGCATGTAGGCAGTTCGCAATTTGGTATCGTATTCATGCTATGAATTTATGTCAAGAGTCTACCAACGCAGTCCGGCTCAAAATCAATTCTCTGTCATTAACTACTCTGTATTCTGATAGCCTAGTACCTTATTTGCTATTTTGTTTATCTCTGTTATGTCAATATTTAAACCATTCTTTAAATTAACTGTCACTGATAGACTACTCTTAGTAACCAATTAACGACTGAGTGTGAAGTCTGTATAAACTACGGCACAATGTTTTACTAAATATTTTTAAAACGAATTTAGAAAACACTACATACATTTTAAGCTTCGTCCATAAATTATTTGACAGAGTGAAGAGCGGTTTGTAGAATTCACTTTCGAAGGTAGTTTATATACACGGTAACGATCTTCCATGGTGGGCGTGCATATGTCGGAGATAATGAAATAACAATCGCGTAACATTAGAAACACTATTCGTAGTTGGCCACCATGTTAATTGATAACTTCACAACACACTCTAATCCAATTGCAAACGTTCACAATGATTAATTAATTGATTTTATAATAACAAAACGCATCATTCCACCATTCAAAGACAACTGTCATCTGTCATTCGATCGCCGCTTAACATCTATCATGCACGATGCACATTCAGCCAGTACTCAAAATTATTAGTTGCCAGTAACTTTAATCGTTTAAAACTTAACAAACATTTCGCCCCATTATATTTATGAGAATTAAATCTATTATAACTCTACCATAAATGTAAATAAATAAAAATTTTATTGCCTAGTATCTAAGGAAAATGTTTTACTTCTTAATTGGTAAGCAAAAAAAGCCAATCAAAGATATCGGAAACGGAAATAACTAACAATGGTCCCCTAACGCTTCTGGTTAGCAACGTAATATATCATTGATATGCAGTCAGTACTCTTCGGTAAATCTTTACGTGACTTCTTGCTGATTGCAATTCGCACGACCAATAATACTGGGAAATGTTCTTGTTACTGATTTCTCATTGTTCCTCAAGTAATATAAAACAATGTCGCTTACTTCCGCATCGTTCATTATTTATTGTTATTTTTAATCTCATAATAATAAACCGAAATCAAAACACAAAACACTGGTGACACAAAATATGCAGAAGATTTAATTAAGAAGATTTTAGATTTAAATTGGAAATACTAAATAGTTATATTTGCATATCGAAATATTTGAGTACAGGGTGCGTTTTTAATTCTTTAATTAAAAGTAATGTTAAGAAAAAATGATGCAATAATTTACTTTAAAAATAAATTTTCATTAGGTAATTGCGTTTTCAAGCCTTAATAACACTTAAGTTTGGCACAAAAATATCAGTTCTTCTATGCCACTTTGGGCAGATTTCATTTTCATAATCACAATTTTAAATTAATGTTAATACCATTTGACTTGATGTAACTTTTAAAGCTTGTATGTTACGCTCTTATGTATGCGCAAATATCGGAAAATGACCCAATACGTAATGTTTGTAGTTACGAGAGTCACTTTAATGTCATCCTCCAGCCAACCGAATAAAGCATACTCTAACTCGCTAACGATATATATGCACATACTGATGAAACGATATCCAAGATATACGGATACTTCGTGCTTTACTTATACGAAATTCGATTTCATCTCATCTAAAGAATTTATTAATCATTTCGTTGTTTTCATTGCGTAAATTTACTAACCTATAAAACGGATAATAATTCTTTATTGATATTAAAAATGGACTTTGATATTTTCTTGTTTTCTGATAGTTGATATGCTCGTGAAATTTATTATAATAAAACTAACTACTGTTAAAGTATTGTAGTCTAACTTTTGAATAAGAAAAGGAAAAGCTATTCTATCTGTTCTTTAAAACTATGCTCTGCCTCGCAAGAAACGCTAACAATCATGCATCTATCCATCTGGACCTACGCATTTATAATATCAGTAAGAGCTTAGATTAAACACGATTACTAGCCGATTTACTTCATAGTATTGTTTATTATAAAATGTATAACAGCTTGTTTTAATATTTGGTCAAAGCAAGGAAGTTAGCGTAGTAAAAGGAATCCCTATCAGCAACGGACATGGCTATTGTACTATGTGGCGAGGAATGCTATTGCTTTCACCCGCCCAGCGAGTTATGAAGCCGCCAGATCGGCCGAGATAAATGCAACGCCTGCGTACTGCCTTATTAGATTTTATTATTTGCTAGGATTGGATAGGATATAGCCTGGAAAGTTTTGTTGCCTTTTATCACACTAATGGTCATTTCCTTTCAACTAAATTTTATTAGTATAGATAATATTTATTACAAATATCTTACTACCTTAACTCAAGCGAGTAAGTATAGATAAAACTATTGAAAAATGCAAATTTTACAATCAACGGCAATTTTTTTTCAATATGAAAATAGACTATGACATTTGTTAGTGGTTCAGAAGACTGAGAGAAACGGAATATCGTAAAATTTTAATTGTTTTAATTGTTTAAAATAACTTATTGATCACTAATTACAACAGGAAAGATTTGTATTTTTGTATGTATTGAAATAACTCAAAACTACAGGGCTGATTTTAAAAATTCTTCCATCGTTAGAAAGATAATTTATCTGTAACATTTTCTTTATTTTTTAACTTTACGCGGATGAAGTCGCGAGCAACAGCTAGTTTTTAACAAATCGGTTACAAACTTATCGTATCATCATCCCTTGGTTTACTTGATATCTGGCACAGGTTTAGCTACCGTTAGACCAAGCCCGGTTAATCAATGCAACAACTCGATACTGACCACATTCTAGTTGAATGTGTACCGCTACTTAATTAGAATACTACACGATTTATAAACTATTTATTAGTATGCCTTTGTTTGATATTCGTCAAACAATTCAGATATGAACAGCAAAGCCGAGCCAATAAATTGACCAATTGTAAATATATATCAACAAATTTAATCGTTTATTGGACGCTTACCATTAATATCAATCTAAAAAAAGTAATGAATCCAAAATTAGTTATAATCAACATCTTATAACATCATTATTATTTTCTCATAAATTCCAAACGACTTTTCAGTTGATGGTGCTGACAGATGCCGCGTAAAGTCCAATAACGCGTAAACTCTGTGCCGCGTGCGGCCGATGTCTTCTTTAATGGTTGTACAGATAAGGAATCAAATTCACTTCCCACTTAAGAATAAATATCGTACAGCAAACTGATACCACAAGCGGTTACATATGTACATATGTAACTCTACTGCATTATGAGCGTTAAAATACATTTTACTAAGTAGGGTAGGAAATAAACGTCCTCGACTGTTAAAACGATATTGTTTGTAGAATTTACGTAAGCATAAATGAGCAGCATTAGGCTTATTGTAAGACACACATCTATTGTGAGATTCGGAGCGTCACAAACTGGGTCAGTTACTTAGTAAGGCGCAATTGACGCCGGTGGAGACAAGGTTAACAATGGCCTCAGAGATGTCCAATTACTGCCAGTATGAATGATGTATGCAAGCTTACGGTACATTTTGATTTTAAACTGTGCCGCAATATTTACCAGCGCAGAGTAAACTAGTTCTCGTTTACTATTTACGTCAGTTTAAATCAAATACAAATAAAACAATATCGTTTTTCGAATAAGCTACCAAACAGAGTGACAAATAGTGGTTACTTTCACATTGTAATTTTTCCTGTTTTTTACAAAATAAATAGATATTAACTAGCTTTCGCCCGCGACTCCGTATGCGTGGAATTTAAAAAAACAAAATAAGTAGCCTATGTGTTCTTCCAGACTATCCTCCACATCAACACCAGATTTCATCGAGATCCGTTCAGGAGTTTAGGCTATAAACTCTCACAAATATCCATCCATCCATCGATACGTTCTCATTTATAATAGTAAGATAAAGTTAGTAAGATAGTAAAAAGTAAGATTAAAGGTTTGACGCAATGCAGTTCTGAATAATTGTAAATATTATAAACTCTATTGCCTAAAAAAATATTAAAATTGAGCATTCGATTTTTATTATGACGTGAAGAATACAATTGGTTGTGTTAGAGCCGATTGAGCAGCGGCGACACGCGCGCAGCCTTCAAGGCTGATTTGTAACGAGTGAAAGGCGCGTACGTACAGTGGGAACGTGAGTCAGCAATCGCTTTAAATGACCCCAAAGTAACCTTTCATATTTCAATTTTGTATACCACAATGATTATGTACTAATACACTAATGTACTTTTTGTTTTAAATATTATTATCATGTTATCTTCATCAATGCTTTATGCAAAAATCTGATCATGTGACTGTTTATTTTAAATCTACGTTTTAACTTTCCATTTCATTTACATTTATTTCTATTGTAAATTTAGTACACATTGATAAGCACTTAAGAAAGGCACTTCGATTTGAAATGGTATCCCGATCTTATATCAAATTACGATAGACATGGAATTGTCAATGCACGGCGTTCACGCTCAAAGTTCCCCAGTTTGCGGGGACGTAACTTAATATCCGGAACATCGTTTCCAGCAAGGCTGCATTCTAAGGGCTCTTGGAACAATCATTGCCTCCAACCTGGTACCGTTGCAATCGATCTAAAGCGACGGACGTAACATCGAATACATGAAGTTTCCCTCACGTAAGGTTAGCAGTTAGCGGTGACAAATATCACATGAATCGAATGTTGACAGGCGAATTTTAGAGCACTAAAGTTGATAATTAATAATAGATACGAAATACATTGAATGTGTAAGAAAAAAACGTCGAAAGTGACCTTGAATTTCTACATCTTAAATGTACATTGAATTAGGCAATTTCACTGAAATGTACGAAAAACATTTTTAAACGATTCTCAGGTGCAAAAATGCTTTGATTATTGAATTTCTAATTGGATATTCAAAAGTCAAGAATTGCAGTATATACAAAACACTATACCGCACGTCGTTTACAAGTCTAATATCGTTCAAGTTTGATTCGTTGTTTCTTGTATTCCAATGGCAAACAAGCAGTGTTTGTTTAGTTGTTTTCGCGTTGGTAACAAAAATAAGTGGGTCAAAACATTGCATCGTATTGCAGCGCGGTCCATTGAAGCGTGAATCCAGCGCGCTCTTCGCGATAAGTCGTCGAACTCACACGTTCCATTTAAAATATTTACTTTTTTAATAACTGAGGACATAAAACAATAAAACTAATAACACTTTTACTGCTATCAAAAACCAAGATGTTGTTCATAACCGTATGGGCAGTCGAATTCAATATATCTCGATTCATATTTTAATTCAATCATATATTTTTTTCAAATATAGCGTATCTAAAGATCAATGCGGGCAACACGAGTCGAAAAACATGATGTATTTAACAGAGGGTGAATGTATACTTTATGTACTGCATTCAAACAAAGTAATAGAAATATTTTTTAAAGCCATCTCAAGAATAGAATACCATTTCCACCGTAGATGTCTCAATAACGAATATCTTCTACAAAAAAACCAATGTACCTTCGTTTGATTTTCAAATCTTTACAAAGTGTTTTCAATAGACGAAACGACGATTTCACTTGCCCTTTGTAGAAAGTGAAATTCCTTGTGTTGACAGAAATCCATACAAAGCTAAACATTTGCGTACACAATATATGCAATATCGCTTTCACTCGGAACTAGGTGCGTTCATTGAAATACATACATGCATAATTTATGTACTGCCATTGACTTTTAAGATATTTAGTACGTGAACATATTAAATTACTAAAAAAACTAAAAGCCGATGGAACAACATAAATAATATTGATTTTCTTTTCCAGGTTGGGAGTTAAAAGGTCTACATTGTTATAAATTTTTTAACATCAGGCATTCATGGGAAAAAGCTGCAGAACTATGTCGAAGGTAAGCAGTATTTTTTGGTCTTTCATATTCATTGGTCTGATAGATAGCGTTTTATTGTACACAATGTCTTTACAACAATTATTTTATTACAGATACGGCAGCGAATTAATGGTTGTAGAAAGTTACACAGAAAATAACATGACCGCTAATATGGTGCCATCTAGTCCCAGTAATAACCATTATTGGCTTGGTCTAGCAACTGTTGACGACCTAAGGACCAATACTTTAGAATCAGCTGCCGGCGGTTTGGTATCACAATACGCTGGCTACTGGGCGTTACGACAACCCAATCCAAAGGAGGGAGAATGTGTTGATGTTCATGTCACCTCAGACAAACAATCCTGGGAGCTGACGACATGCGAGACCCTTCTTCCTTTCATGTGCAAGAGTGACGCATGCCCAGCAGGTGATTAAATTTTTTAATGATCTTAGTCTATTGGTGTACTTTCAGTTGAATACAATTAAAAACAAAACGTTCTTCACTCAAACTTTCCTTTGTTCATTCGGTAGTTTTGTTCAAATTAGCATGTAAAAGTGATTAACAAAGCCTTTTATTTTAGGAACCTTCCATTGTTCGAACGGAAGATGTATTAATTCGGCCTTTAGATGCGACAAACAAGACGATTGCGGCGATGCTTCCGACGAAATGGACTGCGCTTCCGAATGTCATTTTTACATGGCCAGCAGTGGAGATGTAGTCGAAAGTCCAAATTACCCTCACAAATATCCTGCTTTCAGTGAATGTAAATGGACGCTCGAAGGGCCACAAGGTCAAAATATAGTATTACAGTTCCAAGATTTTGAAACTGAAAAGTCTTTTGATACTGTTCAAATATTAGTGGGCGGCAGAACAGAAGACAAGTCTGTCAATTTGGCCACGCTATCTGGGAAACAGGATCTCTCTAGCAAACTTTATGTATCCGCTTCCAATTTCATGATTATTAAATTTAGCACCGATGGCTCTGTAGAAAAGAAAGGATTCCGTGCTTCTTGGAAAACTGAATCTTCCAATTGTGGTGGTGTCCTCAGAGCTACACCACAAGGTCAGGTTTTGACTTCACCTGGATATCCAAATGTATATCCCGGTGGTTTAGAATGCGTCTACATAATTGAAGCCCAACCAGGCAGAATTGTGTCACTAGAAATTGAAGATTTAGAATTAGAAATGAATAGAGATTACATCGTAATTAAGGATGGAAACACCCCTTCAAGTCCAGTACTCGCTAGACTAACTGGACCAGGAGCAGATAATCAAAAAGTAGTAATATCAACAACAAATCATTTGTATATGTACTTTAGAACTAGTCTCGGCGACTCTAAGAAAGGTTTTAATATGAGATATTCCCAAGGTTGTAGAGCAACGATAATTGCTTCAAATGGCACATTTACTTCGCCTGCTTTTGGTCTTAGTAGTTATCCCAATAATCAAGAATGTCTATACAGGATTAAAAATCCAAATGGAGGACCACTGTCTCTCAAGTTTGATGAATTTAATATTCATCCATCTGACGTCGTTCAAGTTTTTGATGGAGCAAGCACCAACGGACTGAGATTGCATTCCGAAAATGGATTTACCGTCAAACCAAGAATAACGCTAACAGCTTCAAGCGGCGAAATGCTAATAAGATTTGTATCTGACGCTTTACATAATGGATATGGATGGAAAGCTATATTCTCTGCAGGTATATTTTGCGTTAAATATTCACGTTATATTAGAGTTGTCAAAATGAATTAAAACCAATTAATGTTATGTATTTTAGATTGTCCGCCACTAAAATCTGGAATCGGCGCTTTGGCGTCAAATAGAGATACTGCATTCGGAACAACAGTAACCTTTTCGTGTCCTATCGGTCAGGAGTTTGCCACAGGAAAATCTAGAATTGTAACTCAATGTCAAGAAGGTGGAAATTGGTCAACTACTTATATCCCCAGCTGTCAAGGTAATTAATACATATGAAACAAGAAATTGTTACAGTACGTTTTTACTTAATTTATTAATATGTGTTTATTTGTACATTTGCAGAAGTTTATTGTGGTCCAGTGCCCCAAATTGACAATGGTTTCTCGATTGGATCAACAAACGTAACATACAGAGGCGTAGCTACTTATCAATGTTACGCTGGATTTGCATTCCCAACTGGGCAACCCATTGAAAGAATATCATGCTTATCTGATGGGCGATGGGAACGAACACCAACTTGTCTTGGTAAGAATAAAATATGCGAATAATTAGATTGTTTACATTAATTTTAATGGTATTTCTTAATGTTATTTCATACTTATTGTTTTCTTTATAGCTTCGCAATGTGTAGCACTTCCTGATGTTTCGCATGCCAACGTAACTATATTGAACGGCGGTGGACGTAGTTACGGTACTATTGTACGGTACGAGTGCGAGCCGGGATACGTGCGGACTGGACAGCCGGTCCTACTTTGTATGAGTAATGGAACTTGGTCTGGTGATGTGCCGACATGCTCTAAAGTCTTATGTCCGAAATTCCCTGAAATTAAAAACGGATATGTTGTCGATCAAAGTCGAATTTATATGTTTGGAGATGAAGCAAGAGTTCAATGCTTTAAAGGTAAGTAATATTATAATGAATGTGAAATTTAATAGTAATAAGTAGTTACTTTTTGTTTGAATTTTCTTTTAAGTATCTAAGAATTATTTTTTAACAGCAAATTATACCAAATTCATATTTGCAGGTTATAAGCTAAACGGACCTAGTGTACTTAAATGCGGTGCAAACCAAGAGTTTGATCCTCCACCGACTTGTGAAGATATTAATGAATGCATAAGTAGTCAATGTAACTTGGCAACAACTGACTGTAAGAATACTCAAGGAGGATTTTACTGCCCCTGCAGACCAGGTTTTTCACCAGTATTAGAATGCAGACCTGTGGGAGATCTTGGTTTGATAAATGGTGCTATACCTGATGAATCGATTACTACTTCAACACCCGAAGCCGGATATTACAAAGGAGTAAGTAAATCTACAATGGAATATGGACATTAATTCTAAAAGTTTTAATTTGCCACATTATTAATTTAAAAAAAAAACAAAGAGTAAAGGTTACTAATGTTAAAACACCCTATTTCAGATGGTTCGGTTAAACAATGGCGGTGGTTGGTGTGGCAATAATCTGGAAGCCGGAGCAAATTGGATACTGATTGACTTGAGAGCACCAACAGTCATCAGGGGCTTTAGAACTATGAGTGTTATGAGAGCTGACGGCAACATTGCATTCACATCGGCAATAAGAATTCAGTACACAAATGACTTAACTGATGTTTTCAAAGATTATACAAACCCTGATGGCACCGCTGTCGAATTTCGCATTTTAGAACCCACTCTTTCCGTTCTTAATTTACCTATGCCTATTGAAGCTCAATACATTAAATTTAAAATTCAAGATTACGTTGGGGCTCCTTGTTTGAAATTAGAGGTCATGGGTTGTGCGAGATTAGATTGTGCTGATATTAACGAATGTAATGAAAACAATGGTGGTTGCGATCAGAAATGTATTAATACGTAAGTATCTGATGTGAAACAATATAATTAATTTTTTTAATTATTCAATATTAAATTATGGACTTTCTTATTTATAGACCGGGTAATTTCTCATGTGCTTGCAATATTGGATACGAATTGTATACATCAAACGGAACTGCTGGATTCAAAATTGAATTATCAGAAACCGGTGAAAGAGATGGTGACACATATCAGAGAAACAAATCATGTGTGCCAGTTATGTGCCCATCACTTCAATCTCCAGAAAATGGTAAACTGTTATCAACAAAATCTGCTTTCCATTTCGGTGACATTGTTCAATTCCAGTGTGACTTTGGATATGTAATGTCTGGTTTCTCCTCCCTACTTTGTACATCGAGTGGGACATGGAACGGAACAGCTCCTGAATGTCAATGTAAGTTTTTTTGTTTATGATTTTTGAAAAATATTAACAATAATTTAATAAATAATTTTTCATCTTTAAACCATTTATAATGTTATCCTCTCTTGCAGATGCACGATGCGTGACTTTATCAGACGACAAAAACGACGGTTTACAAATAATAAGAGACGACCCTGAAAGCGTTCTTGTACCATACAGGGACAATGTTACAATAACTTGTACGTCACCGGGTAGATATCTTAGGAATACTGTTACATCGCCATTCAGACAGTGTGTTTATGATCCCAAACCGGTAAATATAATGTTCTACCTAAGTTTACTAATTTTCCTCTGATAAATAAAAATTTTCTCATTAATGAAACATGTTTTAGGGTCTTCCTGATTATTGGTTGTCTGGAGCACAACCTCAATGTCCTCGAAAAGATTGCGGTATTCCGATGCCTACACCGGGTGCAGAATATGGGCAATATTTAGACACAAGATATCAAAGCTCTTTCTTCTTTGGCTGTCAAAATACCTTCAAACTTGCTGGACAAACAAGTAAACACGATAATGTAGTACGGTGTCAAGGAAACGGAATCTGGGACTTCGGTGACTTGAGGTGTGAAGGTCCTGTGTGTGATGATCCAGGAAGACCGGCAGATGGATACCAAATTGCTAGAAGCTATGAACAAGGATCAGAGGTTCTCTTCGGTTGTTCAAGACCCGGATACATTTTAATCAACCCTAGACCAATCACATGCATGCGCGAACCCGAATGTAAAGTAATCAAACCGCTAGGCTTAGCTTCAGGAAAGATTCCAGATTCAGCAATCAACGCAACTTCGGAAAGACCTAACTATGAAGCCAGAAATATAAGACTGAACTCTGTTACTGGCTGGTGTGGAAAACAAGAAGCATTTACGTACGTCAGTGTAGATCTAGGAAAAGTTTATCGAGTAAAAGCAATTTTAGTCAAAGGTGTCGTTACTTCAGACATTGTGGGCAGGCCAACTGAGATAAGATTTTTCTACAAACAAGCAGAAAATGATAACTACGTCGTTTACTTCCCCAACTTCAATCTGACAATGAGAGACCCTGGAAACTATGGAGAATTAGCCATGATAACTCTTCCAAAATACGTACAAGCCAGATTTGTTATATTGGGTATTGTCAGTTTTATGGATAATGCTTGTCTTAAATTTGAGCTTATGGGCTGCGACGAACCGGCTGTTGAACCTCTACTTGGCTATGACTACGGATATTCTCCTTGTGTTGGTGAGTTACTAATTTGATCTTGTTTTATCTGTACTCGTAGTCCGTACTCGAGTAGTTTAAAATTTACCAAAAGATATTAACTTGCTATTTTTTTTTCAGATAACGAACCACCTGTATTCCAAAATTGCCCACAACAACCAATCGTCGTTCAAACGGATGTAAATGGAGGCCTTTTACCTGTTAACTTCACAGAACCTACTGCTCTTGATAATTCCGGCGCTATAGCTCGTTTAGAAGTTACGCCCCAGCATTTCAGAACACCTATTCAAGTATTCCACAATATGGTTGTCAGATACGTTGCATTTGACTTTGACGGAAATGTTGCGATTTGCGAAGTAAACATAACAGTACCTGACTACACACCACCGAAGTTAAGCTGTCCACAAAGTTATGTTATAGAATTAGTCGACAAACAAGACAGTTACTCTGTTAATTTTAATGAAACGAGAAGAAGAATTAATGCAACCGACGCATCTGGTGAAGTATTTTTGAAATTCATCCCGGAACGAGCTGTGATTCCTATTCGAGGTTATGAAAATGTTACTGTTGTTGCTTCGGATAAATATGGAAATAAGGCTCAATGTCACTTCCAGGTAAAGACATATTCTCAAAGTAATTACCGTTGTGACCTACTACACAATTCAATTATTTTAAATGTAAAACTTACACTTCTAGGTTTCTGTACAAGCAACACCTTGCGTAGACTGGGAACTGATGCCACCAGCTCACGGCGCACTTAACTGCTTGCCTGGAGACAGGGGAATTCAATGTATTGCAACATGCAAGCCTGGATTCCGCTTCACAGACGGAGAACCAGTCAAAACCTTTATTTGTGAAACAAAACGTCAATGGACTCCTACCGCTGTTGTACCCGACTGTGTTTCTGAAAGTATGTACCGCTTAATTAAAAAAATAGTCAAGTGCTGATTTTTTAAGTATATAAATAACATTTATTTTTCCATTTTCAGATACTCAACAAGCTGCATACCATGTCGTTGCAAGTGTTCAATACCGTGCTCTTGGCGCAGTCTCTAACGCTTGCTTGCCACAATACAAAGATTTACTTGCTCAATACGATAACATATTAAATGAAAGGCTATCTCAACGTTGTTCAGCCGTCAACGTCAATATTAATGTGACATTTGTGAAAGCTATGCCCAGTCTTCTTGATGAAAATGTAGTGAAAATGGACTTTGTTTTGGCTATAACTCCCGCTATCAAACAGACGCAGTTATACGACCTTTGTGGTTCAACACTGAACCTCATATTCGATCTATCTGTGCCATACGCTAGTGCGCTTATTGAACCTGTGCTTAACGTTTCATCTATTGGAAACCAATGTCCTCCTTTAAGAGCTATAAGAAGCTCTATTTCCCGCGGATTTACATGCAGTGTTGGTGAAGTTTTAAATATGGATACAAATGACGTACCAAGATGCTGTAAGTATTCCGAACATTAAATTTCATGTATATTGCCTTAACCGAACATAATTTTAATGTTCAATTATTCTTTGTTTTAGTGCACTGTCCTGCGGGAACTTTTGCTGGTGAAAAACAAAAATCGTGTACGATGTGCCCAAGGGGATTCTTCCAAAACCAAGCTCGACAAGGATCTTGTCTTAAATGCCCACAAGGAACATTCACTAAAGAAGAAGGCTCTAAAGACATAACTGACTGTGTACCGGTCTGTGGTTATGGAACATATTCACCGACAGGCTTAGTTCCTTGTTTAGAATGTCCCAGAAACAGCTATACTGGAGAACCACCTGTAGGAGGATTTAGAGATTGTCAAGCCTGTCCTGCTAATACATACACATATCAGCCGGCTGCTTCTGGAAAAGATAAATGTAGAGCTAAGTGTGCTCCTGGTACTTACTCTCCAACTGGTTTAGCCCCATGTTCTCAGTGTCCAAGGAACTTCTACCAAAACTTAATGGGTCAAACTTTATGTATGGAATGTCCAACCAATATGAAGACAGTAGGAACAGGTGCCTCTGGTTTAGAAGAATGCATACCAGTGGAATGCTCAAACAGCGCTTGTCAACACGGTGGTCTTTGTGTACCAAAAGGTCACGGGGTGCAATGTTATTGTCCAGCCGGTTTCTCAGGACGCAGATGTGAAATAGATATTGATGAGTGTGCGAGTCAACCTTGTTACAACGGTGGCACTTGTATTGATCTCCCACAAGGATATAGATGCTCTTGTCCTACTGGATATGGTGGAATAAACTGTCAAGAAGAGAAATCAGACTGCAGAAATGATACGTGTCCTGAAAGAGCTATGTGCAAAGATGAACCAGGGTACAATAATTATACCTGCTTGTGTAGATCAGGTTATACTGGAATTGATTGCGATATTACGGTGAGCTTGTTTTTTTTATTAGTAACTTAAGTATGTCTTAAATAGATTTCACAATTTAATAACAAACAAACTTAATTGTATGTAGTAAATTATGTATGTTTCATATGCTTATAATATATTTATTTTAGATTGATCCATGTTCTGCTAACGGAAACCCCTGTACAAACGGTGCAACTTGCATTGCTCTTCAACAAGGCCGATATAAGTGCGAATGTTTGCCTGGATGGGAAGGACAGCTTTGTGAACTAAACACCGATGATTGTATCGAGAAACCTTGTCTGCTTGGAGCCGCTTGTACAGACTTGGTTAACGACTTCAGCTGCACGTGTCCTCCTGGATTTACTGGAAAACGTTGTCACGAGAAAATAGACCTTTGTTCAAATGAACCATGCAAACACGGTATTTGTGTAGACAAACTTTTCGTTCACCAATGTGTTTGTGACCCTGGTTGGTCAGGGCCCTCATGCGATATAAATATCAATGAATGTCTTATATCATCTTGCGAAAATGGTGGTCGATGTGTGGATGGTATCGATGACTTTACTTGCATTTGTGAAGCTGGATTTACAGGTAAAAGATGTCAACACGCAATTGACGATTGTTCTTCTGAACCATGCCAGAATGGAGCAACGTGCACTGACCAATTAGAAGGATTCACATGTAAATGTCGACCAGGGTTCATTGGCCTACAATGTGAAACAGCGATAGACGAGTGTTTAACAGAGCCTTGTAATCCGATTGGCACTGAAAATTGTATTGATCTTGATAACAAATATAAGTGCATGTGTCGCGAAGGATTCACGGGAGAAATGTGTGAAACAAATATTGACGACTGCGCATCTGATCCTTGCTACAACGGAGGATCCTGTAAAGATGAAATCGGTGGTTACAAATGTGTCTGCCAACCGGGATGGACTGGCAAACGATGTGAACGTGACATTGGCAACTGCATGAATAGACCATGTCAAAATAATGCAGACTGTATAGACCTGTTCCAAGACTTCTTCTGCGTGTAAGTATTTGCAATTTACTAGTAGGAATTACTCAAAAATTACGTTCTATTTGAGCATTTCTAAAAAAACATTTTTTTTGTTGCAGATGTCCAAGTGGTACTGATGGAAAACAGTGTGAAACTGCTCCTGAACGTTGTATTGGAGACCCGTGCATGCATGGAGGAAAATGCCAGGATTTCGGATCTGGACTCAATTGCACGTGTTCCCAGGACTACACTGGTATTGGTTGCCAATATGAGTTCGACGCTTGCGAAGCTGGTTTATGTCAAAATGGAGCAACGTGTGTCGATGAAGGCGATGGATACAGTTGCTTATGCGCACCAGGTTTTAAAGGAAAGAACTGTGATGAAGATATTATAGACTGCAAAGAAAATTCCTGTCCGCCTTCAGCTACATGCATAGACTTACCTGGCCGATTCTACTGCCAATGTCCATTCAACCTTACCGGGGACGACTGCAGAAAAAGTAATTATTAAATTGATATTTGTTATTCACTACTTAAATGCTGTATAAAAATAATTATCATGAAAATAAAGGGCGTTGTCGTAAAAATAAGGGTCATTACAAACCTTATTTTATTTCCAGCTATCAGCGTAGATTACGACTTATACTTCAGTGATCCAGTCCGCTCAAGCGCAGCTCAAGTTGTACCGTTCGACACTGGTGCTGCCGACAGTCTTACAATAGCGATGTGGGTTCAGTATACACAACAAGATGAAGGTGGCATCTTCTTCACTGCTTATGGTGTTAGGTATAATATTTGTAATCATATTATAAAGTCCTTAATTACATGACCAAACAAGAACAATGTTTAATAACATCTTTTTAATTTACAGCAATTCCCACATAGCATTAAACAGAAGAACTATAATTCAAGCGCACTCCAACGGCGTCCAGGTTTCTTTGTTCCCTGAACTACAGGATGTGTATTTAAGTTTCGGAGAGTTTGCAACGGTCAACGACGGCCAATGGCATCACGTAGCTCTGGTTTGGGACGGTAGCAACGGTGGTGAACTAACTCTGATAACTGAAGGTTTAATAGCCAGTAAGCTCGAAGGCTATGGCAGTGGAAGAACGCTTCCTCAATAGTAAGATCTTTAAAAATATTGTAATTAGTTTTCTTTACTTGGATAAATACTTATTTTGTCTTTCTTATTTTTAGTGTTTGGGTGACTCTCGGTAAACCACAATCGGATAATCCTAAGGCGTACACCGAAGCTGGTTTCCAAGGACATTTAACCAAAGTACAAATATGGAACCGTGCCTTGGATGTGACAAATGAAATTCAAAAACAAGTTCGCGATTGCAGAACTGAACCCGTCCTTTATAGCGGTTTAGTATTAACGTGGGCAGGTTACGAAGATATTGTTGGAGGAGTTGAAAGACTTGTGCCATCTCATTGCGGTCAAAGAGTATGTCCGAACGGATACACTGGTTCCAAATGTCAACAGTTACAAGTAGATAAGGAGCCACCGAGAGTAGATCGCTGTCCAGGCGATTTGTGGGTAATTGCCAAAAATGGTTCCGCTATAGTAAATTGGGATGCTCCGGTATTTAGCGACAACATTGGTGTGACCAGAGTCGTCGAAAAATCTGGACATAAACCTGGCGAAAACTTAGTTTGGGGAGCATATGACATTGCGTATATTGCTTATGATGCCGCGGGTAATGCCGCTACGTGCAAATTCAAGGTTACCGTGCTATGTAAGTTTAATTTCTTGTGTGTTTTTATAAACTAGGCAAAGGGGCTTGTATTTAACAGAGTCTTCTTTCAGCTGAATTCTGCCCTCCATTGGCGGATCCACTGGGTGGTTATCAATCGTGCCGTGACTGGGGCGCGGGAGGTCAGTTCAAGGTGTGCGAGATCGCGTGTCGGGATGGCCTCAAGTTCTCGCAACCGGTTCCACCATTCTATACATGCGGAGCTGAAGGATTCTGGCGCCCAACTGACAACCCTAGCCTTGGACTTATTTATCCTGCTTGTTCTCGTAAGTCAAAGACATACTTGTATTCCTTGTAAGTCTTGTGTTGTTCGATTCTTCGCTCATTTGTACTTACATTTTACGCAATTTCAACAGCGGCTTCGCCGGCTCAAAGAGTGTTCAAGATATCAATGCTGTTCCCAAGCTCCGTGTTGTGTAACGACGCGGGTCAAGCAGTGCTGCGCCAGAAGGTCCGCAGTGCTATCAATCAACTGAACAGAGATTGGAACTTCTGCTCCTATGCTATTGACGGTAAACATACTTTAAATATGTTCAATAATTGAATTTGCTTTTTATAAACATTTGTATCCATTAATAAGTATGGTTTTGAGAGTATTACGGGAAAGGAAGACATTAGAAAATAAATATTGAGGAAGATTTAGTAGAATGTTTTGGTGTAATAATTAGTCTACTGAAAAGGTTAACAATCGATGTAATAATAAATATGTTTTTATTACAGGTACAAGGGAATGTAAAGAGCTGGACATTAACGTCAAATGCGACCACAGAGCTAATGTCCGTCAGACACGGCAAGTAAATTCTCAACCGACAATCAAATCAGAAGACACATATGTCCTCGACGCTATTATACCAGTTGACGAGTAAGTAAAATTATAGACTTCTCACGTATTATGGAATAGAATATAAACAAAAAAAATAATTCACATTTATTGGTGAAATTTGGAAGGTGTTGGAGTAGCACCAATCGTAGCACTATTAGTCTATTAAAAAGCGAAGATTTAAATCGTTAAAGTTAACTGATGGCTTATCAGGAATATTTGAGAAGACATTTTCGTGACGTCATCGACAAAAGTCATTTTAGATTTGAACAACAGATATCATACAAATGTTGTCGATGACGGTTCGAATAAAAGACGTTACAAAATGTTTGCAGGAAAGGTATTCAAATAACTTTATTTTGTTATAATCTATTATTATGACGATTTAAATCTTACTATTCAATTGGCAATTTGAGTACACTTCGGAGCATGTTGGCAATACGACACAATAGCACAAATTAGTACAAAGTTCAAATCACTTTTAAATTTGAACAAAAATAAGCATGTAATGTACGGTACACTTTTGCATGTATTTTGTCTGGCACTAGGGTACGAAGCAATAGAGAAGGTCGACAAGCCGGTGACACCTACAGTGTAGAAGTATCTTTCCCGGCTATCAAGTGAGTTCTACACTTTAAAATGAATTAAACGGTATATAGGACATTATCGGCCAAATACTGAAACGACGTTACAATAAGTAACTGTCTTAAATGATAAGAGCAAATTTAGACTCCAAATTCCACTAAAATATTGACGTCAAATTGTACGCGACGCTTGGAGCCATGTATTTTAGATACGTTTTAGTATTAGGCCGTATATCGCTTTTATGTAGCTGTAAAATATTTTATTTTTAACTATAGTGAATTGGTAAGCTTTAAATAATAGCTACTTTTCAACTAACCTTATACATTCCAATTGTGTAAAAAGATTTTTCTAATAAAATATTTATGCATGACAGAAAAAAAATGTTCAGCTTAATAATATTTCAATCACATATAGTATTAATATGATTTCTGATTACAGCGATCCGGTTATCCACGGTGGTACCAACGAACGATCGACCGTACAACGATTGCTCGAAAAATTAATCTTAGAAGACGAACAGTTCGACGTGCGTAACATTCTTCCCAACACTGTCCCCGACCCGGCGAGCCTGCAACTTGTTTCCGACTACGCATGTCCGATGGGTCAGGTCGTAATGGCCCCCGATTGTGGTAAGCCATTCATTACGCTTCTATAAAATAGTAGCAATTTACAGCCGTTTAAGTGATCACTACTGGCAATATGCCAACAAAACATACGACTTTTGCGTGCCAAACCGTAAATTACAATGCCAAAAATGAAAGCTCGAATAACTCTTGGCTTAGTCGGTCATATCATTGCTTGTTGCTTTAAACCGTTAATAAACAGCCAATGTAAACGTAAATCAAATCGAAAATTATTAACTAGATAAATAAAATTGAAAGCATATCAAATTCAAATGAAGTACCACGGAAATGTAACGTCATTGTTATATTTATACAATGTTCAATTCTACACATGTTTTTTACAGTATCATGCGCGGTGGGTACTTACCTGGATTCAGCGAGTGACTCATGCCAGCCGTGTCCCGCGGGCAGCTACCAATCGGAGGCAGGACAGTTGCAGTGCACGTCGTGTCCCGCAATAGCGGGACAGCCCGGCGTCACGCAGGCCACCGGCGCCAGGAGCGCTGGAGACTGTAAAGGTATAAGATAAGATTAGCTGACACTTGGTCGAGTTCAGAGCAATTGTGTCAACGCCAGTAATGGAATTAGTTATTGAAGTTAATTTTTTGCAATCGGGTACTTGTTTTTTATTGCAAAATATTAAGAATGTAATAATTTAAATTGTATTCCTGTATTAAATGTCATATATTAGGCTCAATAAGCAATGTAGTTGCGACTACAATTCACCGAAGAACTTGTTAATAAATTACGGTAAACAAGTAAACATTCTAATTTTCGTATTACAGAGAGATGCGCTGCGGGCAAATATTACGACGCAGAGGCGGAACTCTGCCGGCCGTGCGGTCATGGATCGTATCAGCCGAGAGAGGGCGCTTTCTCCTGCATCCCCTGCGCTAGAGGACAAACTACTCGAGCTACTGAAGCTGTTTCCGTTGCCGAGTGCAGAGACGATTGTCCACCAGGTATAGACATTTGTTTTTTTAATGTAATGGTGACCAAACTAAACGAGTTTAAAATACCAAATAAAATATTTCTTGGTATCATAATTTGAATAAGACAAACAACATCGGTATAACTCTGTTACTCTACCAGGAGAGCAGCTAGGCGGCGATGGTGGTTGCGAGCCGTGTCCGGCGGGCACGTGGCGGGGCGCTGGCACGGGGGCGGCGTGCGCGCCTTGCCCGCCCGGCACCACCACCCCACAGACCGGCGCCTCATCGCCGGACCAATGCTCACTGCCTCTCTGCAAGCCTGGTAATTATTCCTACCACACATTTTCTTTCAAACTTTGTATTGTTTCTCACTTTACAGTTACGCACTCACTACTTGTTGCACTTTATATTTTTACAACACAATAACAAAAATCTATACCGTTGTAGGTAATATTAAATAATATTAATTTAATTTTAATATATCGTGAAATCGTAAATACTTATACATTTTCGTTTGACAATTCTTAAATCATGTCACAGGCAGTCTTTTGTTTTCAAAGAGCAACAAGTATCATTCATCATATATTATTAACTACCTAAAGAAGAAAGTAGCAAGCTACTTTGTTGCTATTGCTATAACTGATGTTTAACCAACAAAACTAATTTCATCCCTGTTATTCTTATTGAAAAAACTGAACAAGCAATATTTTCTATGTAAATTTTTGATATGCACGTTTTAGCAGTCGAAACTTTTAAACTAGAAACCTTTAAAGTAAATGTATTTGTATAACTACAAATAATTCAAATTCCAATTCCAGGTTTGTACCTCAACGTAACACTGAACACGTGCATACAATGCAAGAGGGGAACTTACCAGCCGGAAGCACAGCAAACTCTTTGCATACCCTGCCCTATCAATACCAGCACTAAAGAACGTGGAGCGGTACGTACATCATAAAAATGTTTCATATTTATCTATTACATTGCCTTCGAAGACGGTTAGATGAACTACGTCGAAATTAATTACTATAAAAGAGAAATTGCCACAAGAACATTGTATTATATAAAAATAGTAAATATACATTTTCGAGTTTGACCAGAATTCTACTGAATGCATTGTGCACATTCGGACGACGACATTGTCGTCGATATCTTCAGTTCACAGAGTTCCGTATGAGCTTTGATCTCTAAATAACTTGAACACAACGATCTCTTCGAAGTTTTTATCTATAAAAAACCATTCCAGACATCATATCAATGTATAACTGCTAATAAGTTAATAATTATCACTATCTCATAAATAATTTAGAATATATTCAAGAATTTTAAGAAAAAAATGTTTGCTAATTAAATCGTTTGTTAGGAAGTTTGTCTGTCGAGTTGTAGGCAACAAATTCGGCAACGAATGTATAATTAATGATACGCTCGTGTTATTTATCATGTTTGAATTACAATTATTAAGAGTCTGGTGCCGTAACATGTATAACAAATATTCATTGAATTTTTGAATATGCTAAGCTGGGTTTTCGTTGTTACTATTTATCATATTAATAAATGATTTTCATACATAAATATAAGTGGAATGAAGATTTTAAAATAAATACTGTTACATTTAAAGTAACTGAAAAAAATCTAATCTAACTTCTAACTAATATTATAAATGCGAATGTTTAGGATGGATGGATGTTTGTTAGAGTTTGTAGCCTAAATGGCTGAACGGATTTCGGTGAAATTTGGTACAGATATAGTAGATAGTCTGGAAGAATACATAGGCTACTCACTTTTGTTTTTTTCAATTCCACGCAGATGGAGTCATCCGTTATCTCAGTTATCACTCCCTTCTTGAAAGTAATCGATAAACTGTGAAATCCAAACTGTAAAATGTATTGTTTATATAATTTGATACTTTCAATTGTGCTATACAAACAAAACTTTCTTTTATAACAATTCGTACAGCGATAAAGTTTTGAGTTGACTACAAATTGTCTTCCTGAAACCCATGAAAGTTATTAACTGTATTGAAGTTTGTTCGTAACTCTATTGTGAGTGTTACAACCTTCCTAACCTGATAACAGGAACAATTAAGACCCTAACTCTCGCATAATGCAAGACACTTCGTGTACCGTCTTTGAAGTAGCACGATACGGTACAATCGTTATTATCACTTGATAAACTGAGATAATATATTCAAACATTTATCCTTTACGGCCAAAGTAGTGGGCAAAAAAAGGCTGATGATGATGTCATTGTATGCAAATAAAAAAAAGCTATGTAATAATAAGATTTCTCTGTTAAATATGACATACTAGTTCCCTACCGCTAGTTAAAGGTAAAGGCAAAATATCTAGCCTTTTAAAATTTATAAGAAACGAGCTGTTGCCCGCAATTTCGTCCGCGTAGTATTCGAAAACATACGAACTATATAAATTACAAATAGCTACGTATCCCTCGGGAACCGGACATTTCTCGGGGATGAAGCTTATCCCATTTGTACTCCAGACTTTGTTTTATATCTGTGCCAAATTTCAATAAGATATGTTGAACCGTTGCAGAATTAACAAGTAAACATTAAAAAACTAAATTAATGAATCCCACGGGAACCGTAACTATTCCGGGATAAAAAGTAGCCTATGTGTTCTTATCACGTGCGTATGATGCTTTTAATAACTGACAAACCGCTTGCGTGTGTGTTATAATACTTTATTCGTATTCAGACGTCGGAGGCTGACTGCACAAACCCGTGTGAAATGAGCGCCCCGGGGACGCACTGCGACGTGAACGCATACTGTCTTCTGCTGCCGGACACAAACGAGTTCGATTGCCAGTGTAAACCCGGCTTTAACGGCACTGGCTTGATATGTACAGGTACGTATTGACGTGACATTAAAGAACTGACTTGTATATATGTTATTTAAGACTTTAATATATTGTTAAAAGTTTTATACAGATCAGTTCCGTCATTTATACAATTCTTGTAAATTGTCAGACAATCCAAGGTATAAAATATGTGATGGAAGTATCAGATTTTGGTACTATCTGACAGTGACGTCACTTTTAAGCTATTTGAGCCTCTATCAGCCAGCGGTGGGACAAGCCCTAATGATAATAAGCTTTAAAACATTTAGTGCTACCGATTCGTTAATTTTAAAAATTATAGTGGCTTTGAATGTGTTTACACATACATGCAACCTTACAGTAAATTAAATACGTATAAGGGTAGGCAACGCATCTGCAATTGCGGATGTCTATGGGCAGCGGTCGCTTCACCATTTTGGCGGATTCTAGTGTCCACTTGCTCGTTTGCCACCTTATGTTATAAAAAAAAAAAAAAAATACAGTACATGCATAAAAATCTCAATAATCCTAGTTAATCTGTCATCTATAGTGATTTATTATAAGCCTGTCGTTTCATCCAAGAAACTTTAAAAGCGTTTCCACAACGTTGCCGAAGAAATCCAGTATAATCCGAACCCCTTTGCAATTATTATTGTAATCCGCGAGCTAAGTCCGCTTGATTGCCTTCAAAGCTTACAAACGCCTTTGAAAACTTTGCATAATTTTAAACGTCGCTCATTTAATACTTACGACTTTATAAACGAAACGAAACGTCCAATAGACTCTAGATAAATAGTAATAAATTAACAACAAGGTTTAGTGCGGGATATATGTCCAATACATCAAAAACAGCAAGTTTTCAAATATTACAATTTCATTTTATTTCTATTACATTCCATTGTATTGTTTTTAATTTTCTATAATTTATCAATACACAACGCGAGTTGACGTGACAAAGAACTGTTACTCATAACATGTACAAAGAACTAAATTTCCCAAGTGTTTACCTCACAGCAAAACATTGCACATTTACAAAGAGAATGGCACGAGAATAATTGACCAGCTGTAAAGATTAGTGTTTCTGTATATAGTACTACTAGTTGTTGCTCGCGACTTCGTCCACGTGTAATTAAAAAATAAATAAAAAACATAGTCTTACTCACTGATAATGTAGATTTGAAATTGGCCCAGTAGTTTTTGAGTTATTTCAAACTTACAAATATATAAGCCTTTCCTCTTTATAATATTAGAAGTTATAGATGAGTTATCTATAAGTTAAATAAGACTGGGGGGTCATTTCTAAACCCTCAGTGGAGTATATAGTTATTTCGTAATCATTCTCATTTACGTCTAGTATTCAAATAAATCGAGTTTTATATTCAAGTTTGAATGCAACACTATCACTATAGAAAGGCTTATCGGCTTAACAATATGCCGAGGTTTATTCAGCGAGAATCGATACATCTATATGCAAATATGATTCCCATCAAATGCACAGCTGAACCGTGGAACCGATACACGAACTACCAGCATCTATATTTGGATACCTGCCGTAATAACCTTTAATCCTCAAAATACAAACAAAACGATTCACTAGAGTGTAAAAAAAGATACAATTTTTAGGTTATGTTACAGTTTTAGTTAGCAGAATAATCTTTGTAAAAATCGCACTCTTTGTCATTATTATAATTATAACCTTTGTAGTTATATACTTATACTATGGTCTATGTTAGAATTTCTCACGTACAAAAAACATAAGTTTTTATAATGTTACATATAGTTTAATAGTTTATGTATTCGAATTTCAATTATACGAACAAAATATGCAATAATGAAAGACACAACTTGGAAACAATGACATCTTTTTATCTTTGGTTTCCTGAACTTGAAGAAAATGCATCCCAACGCCATCTATAACAGCATATTTTATATTCAAATGTGTTACAGAAGTTTATAAATAATACCAAAAGATGGCGTAGTTTTATAATTTGTTTAATATTTTTTTACAGATGTTTGCCTGGACTACTGCGACAACGGTGGCGAATGTGTGAAGGACGTGAGAGGCGAGCCTTCTTGCAGATGCACTGGTTCGTTTACTGGCCGCTATTGCCGTGACAAGAGCGAGTTCGCGTACATCGCTAGTGGAGTCGCTGGAGGAGTCATCTTCATTATATTCCTTGTGTTGCTCGTTTGGATGATATGTGCCAGGTAAATGTACCAACATACAAAACAAGAACGATGATAATTATTTTTCTGCCTATTTACCACCACTGTTATTTACAATGGTGGAGACCACTTTAACATCTTTGAACTGTAGGTCCGGCTCGCCCTTTGCAATACCACGACCACTTAATTTTAGTCCCTTTCTCTTCACAAACTTTTCTTATGATGAATGGATGGGAAGGGAGAGTGGATTTGAAGGTAGAGGAGATGCATAGTACGGGGAAGTTTCCTCTTTATGCGTGTCTCCTTCGTAAATAGGGTAGACAACGCTATCTGCAATACCAGATATCTAAACTCAGCGGTCGCTTTGCCGCGGGGGAATTTAAGTAGCCGGTCGCTTGTTATTTATATTATTATACAAAAGGCTGGCTATGCATTCTCACCTTAATGATTAATCAACAACAGGTCAACAAAGAAGAAGGAACCAAAGAAGACATTAACACCAGCTATCGACCAAAACGGCTCTCAAGTCAACTTCTATTACGGAGCCCATACACCTTACGCGGAGTCGATAGCGCCATCTCATCACTCCACATACGCACATTACTATGACGACGAAGAGGACGGCTGGGAGATGCCGAACTTCTACAATGAGACGTACATGAAGGAGAGTTTACATAACGGTATGAGTGGCAAAATGAACAGCTTAGCCAGATCAAATGCCAGTATATACGGTACGAAGGAGGATCTATACGACAGACTGAAGAGGCACGCGTATCCGGGTAAGAAAGGTCAGTATTATTTTTGCACTTAGATTAGTGCACATGTACTTTTATGCAGCTTTTCACTGTGCTATTGCTTTGTATGATACTTTCCATATAGTATTTATAATAATAAAATAATTATCAATACAATCACAGCCTAACTCAAAACTGTAAATACACTTTAGTTAACTTTACTTATGCTAATCTCTCTTTAATTAGAGCCGCATCCAGAGTTATTTGGTCACTAAGGGACTAAGGAAGTCCTTTTTTATGTATGAAAAATCTCACTGCTTAAGTATTCTTAAAACAACTCTGAATGCGGCAGTTAAAATAAATAACACACACTGCTGTATAGTTTTGCTTGCTTGTTAGTACAATATAATAATTAATGGTTTAATAATGCTTGTTGTGTTTTCAGATAAGAGTGACAGCGACAGTGAAGGTCAATAAGTTGGTGAGGACAGCGTGTTGTATTCTGGTCAAACTTATAGTACTGTATCGAATTAGTTTCATATTGTTGTATTTCGCTGTATAGAGTCTATTACGAAAGACGCGACAGTTGCGTATTCGTAACGTTATCGACATTTGTAGATTTTTAGTACACTTTACGCCCGGTAGGGGTGATTCTTATACAAATGTCGATTACGTTATGAAAACGTTCTCACGTATACGTGATGATATATTTGATGCAATAATAAATATTTCACGTCATTTTTGACTAATCGTTTCACTCTTACGACTGAGTTTTGATACAGTTGAATCTTGTACTCTTTTAGCTTTATTTAGTTTAAGATATTTTAAAAATAGAATGTGTATTAACACACTCACTGTTTATTTAAGCCCCACCAAATATAATACAATGAACTATAATGTCAATAGGTCAATAGCACAGTTACTCAACTGACAACAACAATTTCAAAAACTTTATTTTTTCGTGAGCAATTGAACAGTGAATGTGTTGATGTTCTGAGATTACAACTTCAACGAGGATATGCTCAAGTTAGTATTTTTAGGCGCAAAATGCCATACCATATGACAGGGGAATTCCAAATCATGATTCTGATATATCGAATTATACATTCCATTTTTATTAAAGAAAAAATGTAAATATAATGTAATGAATTGTATATTTATATAATATAGACCTCAGTAGTCTCGTGGTGTTAGTTTTTATTATCTTATTAATCAATATTTTGTAACGTAAGGTTGTGTGCACATTGTGCTTTAGGGAATGATTACAAAAGAGAGTAACATTTTTTTAATCTGTACACTCTTTGTATTATAATATGCGTACTTACTACTTTATCTGTGTGAATGTATAGATGAAAAAAATGTATAGTTTTATATTTTTTTATAATTAGGTGACGTTTATCGTTGTTTATACATATCTGATAGTACATTCTTTTTAATAATGTATGGAGAATTGTTTTTTTATTTATGTTTAATTACTTATAGGTTTTGTATTTTAAAAAAATGTAATTTAACCCTTTTTACCTGTCCCTATGAAGTAAAACAATACTCAATAATTCCGCCGTGTTGTGACTTTTCGGTGGTTCAGTATCCATCACAATTTACCACATTAGTGATTACGTTAACAGTAATATTTTATACAAAAGAATAATAAATTAATATGTATTTAAGTTTTGTGTTTTCTTTTGTTTCTCCAATATTACTTAGACTGTATTTATATATATGTACTCTAGAAGCTACAGCACACTTACCCACCATCAGTTATTACTGTTGAAATGGAATTCTTGATATCTGATACAATTCTATGCTATTAAAAAAATAACATTACATTCTGCGACGATAGAATTAATAAAATCTTAATCTAAATTTTAAAACATATTTTTAAAAAATGAATGCCGATAAACAAATCCAATCTAAAAATAAAAATAAATAAGATATCAACAAGTTTGAGTGAGGTCAAAATGTTAAAACATAATGCAAATATTTGTTACTTTATACATACGCAAATAACTAACATGTGGCGTATGCAAGTATATTTATTTGTTACACAAGCTTATCAGATTAGACACTTGACCCAGTAATTAACGGCTATTACTCTTATGACGACCCTCAAGAGAATATAAACCGATAGCAACATAAATATACTAAACAATGACTCTCAAACTAGTTATTATTGTCATATGACGTAATTATTAAAACAAATAATAGTCGCCAACTGTTTGAATTTGGAATATCTAATCTAATGTAACTAATATTATAAATGCGAAAGTTTAGATTGATGGATGTATGTTAGAGTTTGTAGCCTAAACGGCTGAACAGATATGCATGAAATTTGGCATAGATGTTGAGAAGAGTAGAACACATAGGCTACTTGTTTTTGTTTTTTTTTTAATACCACGCGGACGGAGTCGTGGGCAACAGCTAGTAGTTAATAATTTTAAATAGTTCGCGCACTCATATCATCCGTACAGAAATGCACATTAACTCAAACTGTGTCAAAACTTTTGTTATGTTATTGCAATGACATATTACGATTTTCACTATGTTTATATTGATGTCAACATTTTTGAATATCGTCAAGATTTTGGCTTTCATTTTCAGTCAAGGGATAAGTAAAACAAATTTAATTTATAAGAAAGTATATTTCCGAAACACAGCCATTCTCGTAAAGAACAATTTAAAAGAATTTTTAATAACATTAACATAATACAAAAATAGAAACGTTCAACTTAGTAGATAGTTCACTTGGAATGTTGTCTGTGGAAGTCCTTCATGTAGCTGACGAGTGTCTCCACTTCCGCGACCGTCACGGCGTTGTACGTGGAGGCGCGAATGCCGCCCACCATGCTGCCCATCATGAACACACAATTGTAATAATCACAGTACTACTTAAAATCTTTGTCTCGGTAAAAAAAACGCAGTAAATAATAGAAACAACTATATCGCAGAAGAGATTTTTTCTATATCATAGCTAACTTCATAACTAACTTTTGCCTGCGACTCCGTCCGCGTGGAATTTAAAAACAAAAGTCAGTAGCCTAGTTCTTCCAGACTAACCTCTACATCTGTACCAAAATTCATCGAAATCCGTTCAGCCGTTTAGGCTACAAACTCTAACAAAACTCCACCCATTCTTCTATTATTATAAAGACGAAAGATTTGTATTTTTGTCTACATACAAAAATTTATAATTGTCTGGTATATTCATTTGCATATGTTCACACATGTTTTGAAATAACTCAATAACTACTGGGCCGATTTCAAAAAATCGTTCACCGATGAGTAACACAAGTTATATTTTTTTATTATGAATATGACGTGGACGAAGTCGCGAGCAATACTAGTATTTTATATAGTGAATCCTTACCGATGTCCTTTCAACTGTATGAGTCCTCTCGCTTCTGCGCCCTTCAAGAACTCCTTCTCCAGCACATCATTGCCTTCAGGAGAACCGATCCTGAACGGAATATTCATCTTACTTCTCGCATCCTTAACGACTGGCGCGTAGTAGAAACCGTTAGACTCTTCTATCACTTTGTAAACCAGTGAAGACTTCTTTGTCGCCATTTCAGACATTTTATCTAAACCACCTTCTCTCTCTATCCATTGTAGAACTCTGCCCATTATGTAAATACTGAAATGAAAGATAAAGAACTTGGAATCAGTACGTTCATTTAAAAAAAAAACATTTAGATACTTTGATGGAAAAAAACATACAGACGAAAAGAGTACCTCCTTATAGGAAGTCGGGAAAACATCATAGCTTATCCACAACTAGCAAACATATATTCAGTTTTGTAAACTTGAAACTAGCTGAAACCACGCACACTCGCAGTTTTAACTGAACAGTTAAACCCTTCATAAAAACTATCAGTTAAAACTGAACGTCTATAGCGGCCTTAGATACTAGCATAAAGGTGTGCATCGTATAATTTAAGTAAGGATTCGCACTGTAAGAGCGGGCGCACACCTTTGACTAAACTGTTCTGCGATTGTCGATTGTTTCGCAGCCTCAACTGTTTAGTTGCACAACTAAAAATCGAGTAGTGTGCGCACCTCCATATAAGCTCATAGGAATCAAAGCGCGATTGAGCAGTTGTGCGATATTTTAGTTTCAGGTGTGCACGCTCTAAATATTATCAAAACACGTGAGTCCTGACGACATGTATCATACGTCTAAAGATAACTATACTAAACTGATTATAACCGGTTTCATTACCAAAAATACGACAATTAATTAAATAAAAAATCACGTATTTATGTCAACTTTGTTTTCGACAGTGTTAATGTATGTTTTCTGTCTTTATCTATCTCATAAGTTTAAATGAAACAGCAATAACAGCTTTTTCATTTGTTTAAACAGTAGTTTTACACTTGTATACATTATTAGCAGAGATGTAAATCTACTCGTAATAAAAACAAAAAGATAATTAGATAAATCCAACCTTAACAGTGACCGATATCGTTGTTATCACGCTTGGATACAATGAAAAAGGAACGTATGACGATAAGAAAATTTCCGATCACAAATTCAAGACAATGACAAAGTCCACTAAAGAGATCTTATATTTTTTTATAAAACCACACTCATTATTTGCGTGAATACCAAGGTATGATTAAATAACATGTTTGAAAAAAGAGTAAAAAGGATACGAAGAAGGAAGAAGAGCGCGGAGAATGTAAGGAAAATCAAAGCAAAAACTTTAAATGAAAATTTATATAAGAAGGGATTTATCGAAGAACTAGCTGTGCCCCCGCGACTTCCGCGTGGAATTAAAAAAAAAAACAAAACTAATTAGCCTATGTGTTCTTTCAGACTATGTTCTACATGTATGCTAAATTTCATTCAGATCCATACAGCCGTTTAGGCTACAAACTCTAACAAACATCCAAGCATCCATCTAAACTTTCGCATTAATATAAGCATGATGAAAGATTATTTACAAAAAAGAATAAAACTTGTATTCCAATTTTAAAAATCTATAAACATATATATAAAAGAGGCTTATTACATCGCCAACAAAGTGCTGTATCTAGAAATTTTTTATCTCATATTATAGATTATGTCAGAGAGATGGGAACATTATGCTTAGATTATCGGTAGTATGTCGCTATACTTACGCAAACATAGGTGGAGTGTTCAGTATGGAATCATTCTTAGCGGTGAGAGTCCAGTCCAGTATAGAGGGGCAAGTTGGCAGAGCTTGGTTCAGCAGATCTTCTCGCACTATGACGAGAGCGACGCCCGCTGTACCAATGTTCTTTTGCGCTCCGCCGTAGATGACTCCGAACTAGAAATAAAAGACATTTTTTAAATACTAATAACAAGTCACTTCTTCTTATTGTACCGACCGTAAAATAGACAAGGGCAAGTGGATGACAATTTAAATCGCTAAAATATTTATTAGGAATATTGTTTTTTTAGCCGCTATTTATGAAGAGATGATATCTTATGTTTTCATATCTTAAACATGCAACCTTCAAATTTTACTAATTAACGCAATTATAAATTTTAATTGCATTAACTTGTTTTTGAGAAAATCAGTTGATTAATATTCACATGACATTGACGCTTCAATGTACACGAAACTTTACATGAATATGAAAATTAAGTATGCAAGTTAAACAAACAATAATTAATTGCATTAAACTATCGATAGCTTTTCAAAGTAGAAAAAGTTTTAATACTGATGTGAGTTTTCATACAATTAATTAAAAACTTACTTTGGAAACATCAATTTTCTTTGACATGAAATTGGAGGACATGTCCGCGACAAGAGGCACGCCCTTTGTGTCTGGTATGAAATCGAATTCCACTCCTGAAAAAAAATATTAGACAAATCATACACAAAAACTGTATACTAGGGGACGTACGACTAAATTATCTATGCGTATAAATAACTTAAATTAAAAAAAAATCCTTTATACTACAGACCCGAATTACAGAAATGATCTAGTCTTCGTCGAGTCCTACTAGCGATCTTAGCATAAAAGGGAGAATGAGAGATAGAAGGATAAATTAATTACCATATAAAGATACGATAAATTATACAACGTAACTCACCGTGAATAGTTTCGTTGGTACAGATATGAACATAAGATGCGTTAGGGTCCAGTTTCCATGTAGATACGTCCGGGATGCCCGTGTGACGGTCCGTCGCTGGCAACACTAGGTTCACTTTACCGTACTTTTTCGCCTCTTTTGCAGCTTTATCCGACCATGTACCTAGAAAAAGATAAAGCAATTAGTTATGGATTTATAAAGATCGAATTTCTGCATTAAAAAGAAGCGTTAACGAGTAAGTCAATTTAATCTTAAAGGACCTGGCTTTACAAATAAAAACTGAAAGATCGAACATAGAAAATAATAATAATAATATTCCTTCTGGTTAAAGTTACTAATTCCAAAACACCTAGATCTAATAATTACCAAGCGAACTTTATAAGCAAATCGCTATTAAGGAAAGTAGAACAAGCACTGAATCTTGAATATATTAGAAAGGGCAGCGGCTCAATGCTGGTTTCTGGATCTCAATTTTTTTTGAACCTGAAGAAAGTGATGATGCAGTCGAAAGATGGTCCGCGCTAGCTTAGTAAGAATTAAACCTATTTACTCTTCTTTCGAAGGCCCCCACGTCATATTTCAAAGAGTCTAAAGATTCAATAGATTAAAAATCTTCAAGCCAATACACCACTTATTACCTGTGACTACATAATCAGCGGTTCCAGTCCTGGATATCAAGTTAAGAGGCACCGCAGCAAACTGACCCTGACCCCCGCCAGCCAAGAATAATATCTTGTAGTTACACGGCACATTTCTAAAATAAATACAATCATTAACATTATTAAAGACAATAAGCCAAGGTAAACGATATTACGTAAATCAAAATAAGGACAAACTATGAAATTATTATTGTAATTGTTACGTTTGTCCTTATTCAATATCAAAATATGCGTATAAAATAGCTTTGTCTATGCTAATAATTATAATTAATTCAACCCTTTCTAAATAGCCAGACCTGAAATTATGTTGATGTTATATCATAGTAAGTTTCGCCCGCGACACCGTAGCATGGAATTTAAAAAAAAACTGAATTGGTAGCCTATGTGTTATTCCAGACTATGTCCATGTATGCCAAATGCCAACGAGATTCGTTCAGCCGTTTCAATTATTATCATTATCATAAAAGTTTTTTGAAATATTTTATGTTAGGTCAAATTTCAAGATTTCATTCGATTTCTAAGCGGTAAAGAAAATTCTATAGGAACGTCAAAAGTATCACAATGTATATCAATCTATTTTACACTATAATTTATGTATAAATATAATAATTTACATAACCAAATAGATCACATTTCATAAGGGACTATCAATACGTGACTACATAAAATTTTAACCGTTTACAATCTTGATAATGTTTCTCTTATCGATAAACATGCGCAAGTAAAAGAACAAGTTAAAAACATCTAGTCTAGAAACTAAAGAAGTGTCTATAATATAAAAATGAAAATTCCAGATTTCAGGAATGTGATGTATTTGCATTGCTTACAACAAAAATCGCATTTTAAAAAAATGTCTGTCTGTCTGCCCGCAAGCCGCGTTTGTTCCGGCTAATCTCCGAAACGGCTAACCGATTTCGACCGGACTCTCTCTGTAAAGTAGCTGACATAGACGAGCATATTATAGGCTATTATTATATTAATATTACGTGGAGGAAGTCACGAGCAACAGCTAGTATGTAATAATTTTATATAAAGAGTCGATAGTACGATGGCTTTGAATTTTACACAACGTGAGAGTATACGGTAAACTGGTATCATCAAACTGTTGTTTGTGACCAAATACGCTTGATTGTTTATTATCTATTGCAATTTCATAAGGAATAACCAAGATAACATGAAAAGAATAACATGTTTTGTAAGTTATCTGATTTCAAAACAAATATCAACAAAATATTTAAGTAACTGTTTCCTTATGACATAAATGAAATTAATTGTTTTTGTAATGAAGAAACAGAAAGTATAACATTACTACATTGTATGATCAAAATAACTTTGTTAATTAACTAGTTATTCAATAGTTTTCAATTATTATGAGAAACGTCTTCCTTATTGTCATCATTTTAGGAGGGAAATATGTATGGCCAATGACAGACTTTAATTCGCTTCTCACTTAGGGTCGAATATCACCCAGATGTTCTCTAATAATTACAATTAAGTATACCACGAGTTATAATTACTCTTAGTATGTCATACTTACAACAATCTTCTTACAACATCCTGTACTTCTGTATTCAGTTTAAGGTATGTTTGCGAACGGTGACTGGTTTCCAATAAACTAATTCCAGTTCCACCGAAATTGGTCAATTCGTTTTTTATTATATCATACACCTACAAAAAACACAGATTATAACACTCTGTAAACATTTACAGGTTATAATTTATATTTTTCAATTTGTAACTTACTTCTTCGGGTAATTTTGCCGGTCCGGCTCCGAAATTGTGTATTTTCACCATGTTAAACTCTATCAAAGTTATAATATACGATGTACACGAGCGCGTCGCTTGTAAAGCCAAGCCAGACTGGTTTCGTATTCGAATAAGATAATTTATTAGGTATAGAATATGCCGGTCTAACAGTGCGATCACTGAGGACAACTATTCATGTATCGTGTAACGCAGCACTGTACTGTATTTATATTGTAGGTTATCGGACTTACAATTGATAGGTTATTTTTTAACCTGTTTAAATTGTAACATATGGAAAACATTGCATCCAGGCACCAATACAAACGATAAACAAATTCCAATTAGAAAATATATTTTGTCCCTACCTCCAACTGCCGAGGGAAATACTAGTAGACTATAGTAAATATTTAGATTAGTGCTTAATAAGAGAAGTGGGCAGAAGCCTATAGAAGGCGTTTATCATAACAATTATAGTTATCTATAGTCTTTAATATTTGACGTAGGGACTATTTTATACATTTACTTTATACAATACAATAGGCTGGCTTAAGACTAACTTTCTAAAAAGTCAGTAGCAAATGACATAATGGATTGCCGGACTTTCTAGTCTATAGGCATTAGGACATCTGAATACTATTTTATCCCCCTGTACTTTTATTTCCTGTAGATCCCAAACTTCGGAATCCAAAGTCCAAAAATGTCTGAGATGCTGCAGCAAACAGTTCGCAACGCAACCAAAAGATGGCGCTACACTCGCGCATAGAAAACACAAACTTTTATTTTCCATGGTCATGGTATAATTTATAAGCAAGTAAATCTTCATTTAAATTTAAAGGCATTGAATGATAACTATCAATAATATTCTGGTATTTATAAAACTAAAATCAAATAGCGCGTTTCAATTCATGCAAAAATTACAGATAAAATAACACCGTCTTAAATAGAAGTTTATAACATGCGATTTATGTTTAATCTGTGAGGCGGGCTTGAAGCTTGAATATTTGAAGTGGTTTTCATTCGATTTTTACAGAAGTCTAGATTTGCCGTATCTTTATTTATTCTAATTCTTGTGTGCCTGATAATTCATAAATATCTCAAATATCTGTAATTAAAATTGTTAAAAGTTGTGTCAAAAGTTATAGCCCTGGTCTCAAAATTACTCAGATAAAGGATATGCCTCCAGTTAAAGATGAAACGATAAGAGAAATTAATTGTTTAGATATAAACATAGTAGAGAAGAGTCCAGCGAAGAACAGTGCGCTTGTCGATGTGAGAGCTTGTAATAAACCTGCCGCCAAGGTATGTTTTTTCCAAAATATTTGCTTTTAGCACTACAATGTTTTTATTACACATGTGTGAAAATATCTCAGTAGGTTTGCTTCTTTATTATACTTCAATGATTGTATTTGCAGTAGAATTATTTATATTTATTAGAATATATGCAAGTTAGTAAACTTTTGTGAAGGTAATGGAATTTGAGTTGTTTTATTTATTTCCATTGAAAAAGTTATTTTATGTTTCGCAATTAAAATAAAAAATAAATCAGTGCTGGTGTTAGTAGAGTATAAAATAATTAATTCTGTGATGCAAGTTATTTGTATTTTTACATAAATATAGTCATATAAAGTGTGTACATTTTCATAATCCATTGTTACATAAATATTATAATGAAGTATTCTATCAATAATTGAAATACTAGATTAATCTAGAAACTAATTTTCAATTTACTTTTCACAAATGCACAGTAAATCAATATTGTCATTGTAAAAAATAAAAAAAGGAAACAAAAAGAGCTGAAATCACTAAAAAATACTGTCTGAGATGAAGAAAAATAAAAAAAAAACATATTTAGAATCACAAAACCTTTTTGCAAGACATTATTTAACTCATCTTTTATTTCATATTTTTCTTAAAGGCAACAAAATAGTTCGATTATAGTTTACTTTAATGTGAAAATGAAATTGAATTACCAGAAAATAGTTATATTGTATGGAGTAATAGTGTTATTGATAAAAACATATCACTGGAAATTAATTTACATAAATAATCAGAATACATAGTATTTAAATGTTAATTCAAAATTTACTTTTAATTTCCATAGTCCTCTATGGAAACTTAAAATATGCTCAATCTGACTAATTTCTAAGCACCCAATATTAATACAAATCAAAATGTTTATTATTATTAACATTAGTATGTAAAATATTTTATCTTCAAAAATAATCGTGCTCATAATTCACACCTTGGGGCTGAAAGTGTACTTAAGTAGGGCTTTTTCTTTGCAATAACATTGTTTTCCATATGTTAAAATGTACTGTTATTACAATTTTCAAAGATTTCTTAGACCAGTAAACCATAGTTACTGTTTCTATAATCCAGCACTTTCATCTATTGTGATGTAATAATTATATCTTACTAATATTATAAACTAGCTATCGACCGCGACTCCACATGGAATTATAAAATCAAATGTGAGTAGCCTATGTGTTCTTCCAGACTATCACCAACATATATACAAAATTTCAATGGGTCCGTTCATACGTTTAGGCTAAAAACTCTAACAAACATCCATCCATCTAAACTTTCACATTTATAATATTAGTATGATGTGACAGTTAGGATCGATGGATGTTTGTTAAAAGATATCTCAACTAGCACAAAGATATCTGATGGATCTGTATGAAATTTGTACACATGTAGAACATTTTCGGGAAGAATGCATAGGTTACTATATTTTTTTTTAATTTCTTGTGTATAATATCAAAGGACAAGACCTAGTAATAATTTGAATCTTGTTTTGTTTGCAGCAAAGTTATAAATGCTTTTTATTGGTCATACATTAACATTAAGTTATGTAAAGGTAAAAAATGGTTTAATTCCTGTTTTATAACGCTACTGGACAACAAATGTTTTTAAAGCTTCTTAAATATTATATAACTACAAGCTTTCAATTTTAACACTTTAACAACAAACAAATTTAACTAAGTAGCCTTTGTGTTATTGACTATGCTCTACATTTATGCCAAATTTTATCCAGATCTGTTTATCCGTTTAGGCCATAAACTCTAACAAACATCCATCCATCAATCTAAACTATCGCATTTATAATATAAGTAACATAAGATATTGTGTTTCGAAATAATGACCCTGATCTCTAGTAGATCATATAATTATTTGAATTCCTTTGATACTATTACATGTGAAGAAACATTAGTCATGTAAGATAATGTGTACTTGTTCAATAAATTTTGCTTTTGAAATATAATAATGCTTACGATAAAAAAAATATCTCACGCTTCGAAGTTGAAATTAACGTGGAACAAACGTGCGAAAGCAATTTTATCACACATTTATCTTATTCTGGTCTTTTTATTGTTATTTTGTATGTACGTTTAGTTTCTTTTTTCTGTTTTACGCATGATGACGCCATAGATTTTTTCTTATAAATAAGTTTTTCATAGCTCATTCCTTTGGCTACAACCAAATTTAATATGTGGAGTAGCAAAATATCGAGAAATCATAAATGGATCTAAACTTTCGCATTTATCAATACAATATAATCATTATTAAAACATGTTATCGAATATCTTTTTCAAGTCTACAAACGCGCAGGTCGCGGTATTTTTTTAATTTTGATTCAATAGGTCCATAATATATGTTTGATATCGAGATCGAAAGATTAAAATAACAAATTATTGGTCATAGAAATCTCATTTGTTTGCAATTGTTCGTAGTAAGAAAGGAATGCAAATATATTATAGAAATGTATTGTTCAATGAAACGATAATAATAATGACGCCAAGGCTATAACAAAAACATTTGTCGTTTTAAATTCAATTTGCTAATATTAAAATTTAAATTGCCATGTTAAACGAAACACGTTCACTGCTTCGTGCATTCCCGTTTTTACGAGAAATTCATCTTAAAGTGTGAACTTTCCCATATGTTATATCCCACTAACTTTCGCCCGCGACTCCGACCACGTGGAATTAAAAAACGAACGTGCCTATGTGTTCTTCCAGACTATCCTCTACATCTATACAAAATTTCATCGAAATCCGTTTTGCCGTTTAGACTACAAACTCTAACAAACATCCATCCCTCCACCCAACATCTAAACTTTCACATTTTTAATATTATAGTATGATTATTCTTAAACTTTTTTCCGTAATCTCCAGCTTCTAACGTTACGTGTATAACCGATCTATTTATATTTACCCTTTTCTTTACTCTGTTGACATGTGATACAAAAATGATTGAAAGGGTAAAAAATACCGCAGTACTTCCGGGTTATAAGTTCACTTGAAGAATGCATTATCAAGGGCTTCCTTTATCATAGAGACCGAAGTTGTTCTCGTAATCTATTATATTTTTATTTTCCACATACTGAAATTATCTATTTTTTCGTTTCTGTGGTAAATTGAGCATGAAATAGCATCGGTGTCCAGTTTTTTATATTAAGTTAAATGCATGATGCCTAGGAGTGGTATTTTTGCTTAAGACTGATTACCAGTAGCCAACAATGGGGCTTTGTATAATGGTAGACGGTTCAAAGTATTACTCAGGTTACCGGTAAAACAATAAACAATTCAATTCCATAAATAAATAAAATGTAAATATTTGTTATTGATTACTAATTCTTACCCTAATGAAATCAATCTAGAAAGTAAATAATGAAGTGGTTATGCAAAGACTTACATCACAGATTGTTTTATTTCAGTTTATTGTTAATTGATGTATCATCTATAGCGAAGCGTAATGAATTTAAATTTCTCTCAGTATCTGCACAGACTGCATAGGCGTCGTAATGTCTCTTTTCACTTTTTTTTCGTCTGCCGCTCCACTCGCGCGCCTTTGCCGCTGTTATAATCATTCTCGTAATTACTCTTTGAAACCGGCTAAAACTATTATATACAGCATTATATCATACATCTAGTTTATATATATGTTTGTACGCTTAATTTAAGTTTCGGTGTTGTTTTTATTTTTTTTTACAGTTCGTGATGTGCGCTGCCGAATTTAGTGTTACTTGTGTACATGAATTTATTTTTTAAAATGCACAGACTGTATACACATAGTTGTGGAGTACGAGTGTAATGTAGTGCATGCCTTATTTCGCACATAGTGACGACAACATGACTAATTCACAGGTATACATTTTTTCTTTAGCTTTTTTTATTTTTTTAATCTGTGCGAAATGTTCGCACTGGCAGGTAAGTAAACCATTCATTCATAGAAACAGCCTTGCTATTGAACGCTTAAAATTACTGTTATGACAATAAATCATAATGATTTTTATATTTATTAATCGAACAAAGGAATTGATATGCTCAGTCTCTTTATCGTCTTTACGCACATGACGTCACTGTCCCACATTTTTATATATGATCATCTTTTGTTTTATTTCGATAACCGTTTAACCTTTTTAAATTCGGCGATAAAGCAAGCGTTTGGAGTTTAGATTGCAATCACGGTGTTAAATCCAACCCTTTTGAATCGCACATATTTATTAATAATATGAAGCACAAAAAAATCACCATGATTTTTATCTTCGACACTAGTTTAATTATTATTTTCTTATATTTGTTACAAAAGCGGTGTTGAATTAAAAAAAATCGGTAGCAAGTACTTAGCGCGTAAGCAACAATTTAATTGAATCTAATTGTAGTGGCCGAGTGCTGTTTGGGAAGTATAATGAGAAGCAATAAGATCGCATTGCTTGGATTGCGTAACCAATGGCCGGTCATTCGACGAATTTTAAATACATGTAGTAATATTGACTATACATTTTATGAACTATTACCATGCGTCCTTGAGAATTTTCATGTTTAAAAAATCTGTTCTCATAGTAAGAGAATATTTTTTTTTATAATTAACATTTAAATTGTCATATCACAACTATTTTAGTATGTCTTCCGGTTGCAATAACAGCCATTCGAATCAGAACAATAGTGTTTACTGCTTATACAACTGCAAAGATAATTTCAGTTGCATACAAGTCTCTGCCTATTTTCCTGAGGAAGTGTTATTGATAAGCGACTTATTGGGGCAACAAAATAAATTACTGGATAGAAGCTAGAATTCAACGTTAAGATTTAATTAAAAATACATCGCAAATGGTTCTTATATTTCGATTAATTTTCATAAAACCGCCCTAAACATACATTACGATATACAGGCCTTTGTTTAGCTTTGGAATTATATTTACGTAACATACTAATATTGGTCAATTGATAGGTATGGTTCCGTGGTGTGAGGAGTTCCAAGTTCCGGCACGTGTACGGCGTGTCGTTCAAGCGAGAGCGATGCTACGACAACATAAAGATAACGAGGAATGCCCACGACTCCAACTTTTGTGCTGTCAATCCCAAGTTCGTGGCTATTGTCACCGAGGTCGCAGGCGGCGGAGCCTTCCTAGTTTTACCCTTGGACCATGTAAGTAAACATAATTATACTTTCCTTCCCGTTGTTCAAATGTGGAGTGTGTTTACGATGTTGATTTATTTCTTTAATGCACTTTATGCTGGTTATTATCAAGCGAAACTCGGACGTAAAAGATAAGAGTAATCGCTAACCATCTCAATACTTTTAGGAATAAAATTAGTACCGTGCTATAGAATTGGCGCAACTCTAGATTATGGGCATAAACGTCACGTCCCTAGGTGACAGCTGTCAATGTCACTAGAAGTATGGATAAATTTGGCGCGCATCCTAAGTCTTGACGAGAAGTATTGCTCTGAGTTAAAAGCGACAGTATCAATTAAATAAGTTGTCTAATAATACCAACCAAGTATTGTTTTAATACAAAAGGTGTGAAAACTGGAAAGTCATTTTTTTGACAGATGACCAACAGTATCATGTGACCTAATAGCGAACTAACAGTAATTGGTATATTGCAGTTTTCATACCGTAATGTGTACTAGAGTGTACTACACAATTGTATCTGTACTAAAGTGTACTACACAATTTCGGGATCGATACGAATAATTCAATGCGTTAGTACTCGCCGCACGAAGTCAATCCCGACTGTATTCAATTGGCACACTGTCGAAGTAGGTTACTGCCCTTATTTGCTGTTCTGTTTGCCCTATTTTATATCGATAACGTCGTATGTTATTTTGCAAAGATACTTAGTTTCGTTCAGTTTATTATATTCATAATTAATCTTTACATGACTAAGCGAATACTTTTCGCAATTCAATTAAGTATTCTCGATGTATAGAGGTGAGAGAATATTGAAATCTATACATATTTTATTTTAAGTAACTTTTTATTATTTATTAGTCTTAATTAAGTGAAAGTCGAAAATCATATAACAAATTAAGATAGAAAGTACATACGGAAACGATCATCAATTATAGTTGTAAAGAAATCGAATTTACCAAATTGAGAAATGTAATCCTTGATTGTAGGTAATTAACATGTTTTCACATACAAATACGAATACAAATATCGGTAAGCGAATTACATGTTATAATGTTACAAAATAAATTCTCGTCTAATCTGATTGAGATAGACTCTAGGGGGTGCATCAGCGTCCAACATATTTGAAAGTTGTTCTTTTCGATTCGAATTAAACTTTGATGACTTTCTATGACATAAAACTATAAGAGGGTCCTGTAAAAATGTATTTTTCTTACAAGGTTCTTTTGCCTGTCCTAGGAAAGGTTATTGAATCTTGTAATACTTGTTTGTGTTTATGAGTCTAGATTTCACCAAGCCCTAGTTCAAATGAAAGTAACTGATAGGTGTGTAATTTATGGATGAAATATAACTTGTATTCCCTCGTTTACATTACCTGGCGATGTGCCAAGTTTCACTTTTAGCAAAGAAATGCAATATTTTCTCGGTTTATAATATAAAGACGTATTCCGTTGGGCTACGAACTATGTTCTTATAGTTCAAAATCTATGTCAAGCTTGGATCAATACCTTTAAATCCATCTATACCAAGTCGTGGCCTTTGCTTGTGCGTTAGTTGTAAAGATATAAATGTGTTAATTCGTATTATTGCGATGTCTTAGCAGTAAAAAACATGATTAAAATAATTTAATTTAGAGATAAACATAAGTTTATCTCTCGGCTCTGCGTGAGAAATATTAAAAAAATGTTAACATAATTCAAACAATGGAAGGATAATGAAAAATTACTCATAATTCTGGAAAATTTTAATAACCTTCTGGCTATTTATAACGTCGAGTAGGTAATATGTTTAATCTTGAAATCTCCACGGAAAAGGCGATATTCTACAATATTTAAATACTCTGTATTTCGCTCAGTAATAAAATGAAAGCTTTTGACTTTAGCTGCCAGTGTTTATAAAAAAAATCAATATCGTGCTATCGACAGATATGATTACGTCACAAACAATGCAAACCCTTTGCTATGTACGCAATACCCTTACCATAATCAACTAATACACTAAATCAGTTTTCTGTTCATCATTTACCATAAACAGACTGGAGATGTGATATTTTAAAAATCTTTACAAAAAAAAATTTATAACCCTCTCAACGGTTTCAAACATTGTTTATTTTTATAAAATAAAAACTGAAATTTCACAGATGTAAGAGTATCGTGTGAAACTGTTAAAATATCCATTAAAATACAATGTTTGTTTTATTTAATATACACTAGCTCTTGTAAGTTTACACGTGTGAATAGTCTATTCGTACACTTGTAAGAGAAAGTACATTTTATGTTAAGTTTTCAAAAGCTAGTAACTGTCACAGACATGTCATCCATTATATCCTATTAAAAAAAGGTATATGTCTACGAACGAGAATTCTTAACTCAAAAGATACTCATACTTTAACATATGGCTTTATTGAGAAATACTTGATGATGATAAATTTATGTCATGTGGAATAAGCAACTTGCGCGTTAGGCAACGTGTTATTTATGTTTTGACTACAATAATCTACACAAACGATAACATTATGATGCGTCTAAAGTTAAAAGTTGCTACAATTTCGATAGTAATCGTTGTCGGGCACCGGCTATGAGGTAATCTCAGTGTAATTGCTTAAAAACTACACTTATCAACGGTTTTTATTTCTAAACTCGCTGCCGTGCACAATTGTCCGTCCTCATTCCATTTGAATTATACGGTTCGCAGTTTTTCGCAACGTTCATTATGTAATTTGATACAATATGGATTAGGAAGTAAGGTATAATAAATAATTAAATGAAAGTAGATAGGATTTCACATATTTATTGCTTTAAATTTATTCCTGCAAATGTCTAGTAAGAAAATTATTGCAGTGTAACTACACTGGGTCAATGTGAATGTCTAAAATTTAGTTATAACCAATTCGGGGCAAGATTGATCCTCCCAGTTGGGGAATTTCTAAGCTGACTGAATGAATCCACTAACAGTAATTTATGTATCACTTACCTAGCGGTCAGTACAACTTAACGCAGCCTTCACGCTCAGTAACATGTTCGAAGACCTGTGTAATCTGAATTCAACCGCAGATATTAGGGTTGTCTACTAATTACTAATCTATATCATTTGTTAATATATCAATGATATTAATATTTTGACAATTAATGTAATAGAAATAAACTAACCAAATACTGAGTATTGTTCTTCTTGCACGCGATTAATCGAAAATTTCATTCAATGAATACTTTCTTGAATTTACTACTAATTTCGTTAATTATTTAGTAATTCTTGTGGCTTGGGAAGAACTTGGTCTCACCTGAAGTCTGAAATTGATATATTTAAAAGTTTATGTGTTATCAGTTTAGTAGCAGCCCTATTATAAATAATTAACTAGTTCAGTGCTCAAAATGTTGACTTACGACATTGGATGTTATCTCGGTGTTATAATTCTCGGCACCCTGACGCAGCGCCCACGTGACGATTTGAACAATTGCCTTTAACTAAAGCAATTGTAGGACACTATGCAAATATGTTTTAGCCCACAATTTATTACTATTATGTCTCTATGAAGGTCAAGCTAAAACTCCCATAAAAATTCCGAAAAAGTCCTTACTTACTTTAGTAACTAGCTTTCACGCCTAAATAAAATAAAAATTTAATAGTTTTAAAACTAGAAAAACACGCAGTTTGCGTTACGTATTTATTTTAATAATCCGTGTACAAAAGCTAAAAGTTCCTAAATTCCATTGTTTTCATTAACATTTCATTAATTTGCTATGTTTTCTGATAAAACTACCTTTATGTTACAGACTGGTCGATTGGACTTCAACGCGAGCCGCGTGACGGGCCACAAGGGCCCAGTCCTCGACATCAAGTGGAACCCCTTCAATGATAACGTCATCGCATCCTGCTCCGACGACTGTACGGTAAGATATTACTAAATATATACTAACTAGCTGTTCCCATGCGGCTTCATCCGCATGCAATTATAAAAACTTTATTTTATTGTTTACAGTTGTCAAATTCACAACTGCAAATGTCAAAATTACCGTATCCAAAATAAATTTCTTCCTTAATGTTGGCAGCTCTTAGTTTAGGATCCCTTTCCCACATAAAGCCTTTTACCAATTTTACCCCCTAAATTTAATAGCGTGAAAAGATATAGCCTAAGGCGGTCCGTAAGTGTAGGGCTTTTTATTAAAGAAAAAAATATTCAATAATATGCTGTGATTGCTGACATCCTTCGTCACAAATAACTATATGTCATAAATATATGATTATGCAAAGAGTTGTTACGCGACTTCGTTCATTTTATCCCTTCATAAGCGGAGCTTCATGGAGATAATGCTTCTAAAATATTTGTTACTCAAAGTGTGGTCACTAAATTAACGGCTAAAGTAAGATCTCAAGCATGACTTTTCTAAACCAATGTGATTTCAATCACTTTTAATTAATGTATATTTTAAGTGATGTAAATATGTTTGTAACCGCAGTATATGTAAATGACTTATTTACATACTTACATCCGTATACATTTGCTAAATGAAAGTACAAGTGTATTGCAAGAAAAACTGAACTTTCATTTTGGCATGTTTGGTTGCGATATTACGTTATTGGTGACTCGTCATAATCAGAATTTTTCAGTAAAAGTGTAATTAACATTATTATAATAATAGTAATTACTGTATTATGATATTACAGTAATTCCAAATAAAAGATTGGGTTTTAGAATTTTATTCAAGGAACGTAGGCATTGAAGGTTGTAGCTAGAACTGATTTTTTTGTGTCACTACCAAAAGAATCAAACCATTATTGAGTAGCAATAACAATTGAAGAAATAATAAACTTGTTATTCATTGAAGTCGTATAAATGACTCGATACTGTTTGTCAAACACTTTCACTTTGAACACCTAACAATCGATACGTAACACCTATTGTTTTCATACAATTTTAATCACACCAGTTACTTGTATTGCAGTAGTAGGTATAGGTGGTAAAAAATCTTGAAAAAGCTTGTAAATTCTCGTAACTATACGGAATAATACATATAGAATTCTCGTAAAAAGATTGTTGCTAAATTTACAATATATATATGTATACGATGTATGTATACGATTTATTTGCGGTACTAATTTAATTAACTACCAGTTAATTTGATTTTGTTTTAATAACATAGACCGCCCATAAAGACGGATTACTAGGTGAGTTTGGTGTTTATATAGGGCCCAGTAAAGTCGGCGCCGCCCGTCTCAAGGTTGTACAAACACTAGCAAAAAGCTCGTTACTTAAATATTGGGTTAAGGTTTAAGGGATGTTTAGCTGTTGTAATTTTTTAAACCACTTTGTTAAATCATACCTCAATTATTAATGCGAAAGTTAATATGAATGGATGGATGTTTGTTAGAGTTTGTAGCCTTGGCTGAACGGATTTCGATGAAATTTATTATAGATGTAGGGGATAGTCTGGCAGAACAAATAGGTTACTCACTTCTGTTTTTTTAAAACTACGCGGACGGAGTCGCGGTCGAAAGCTTATTTATTATTTCTACATATCTTTCATTAGTACCCATGAAATGTCGGTTTGTGTCTACTTCATAATTGTTCTTCCTAGGAATTCAATTTTATTAACCAATCTTAAATTAGGGGTAAAGGAATTAAATAAATGATAGTTTAAGACTATAATGCTATACTTTATCTGCACATGAAGTTATATATGATAACTCACACATATGTAGCTGTTTTAGGCCAACAAAATGTGGTATTTATGATTATGTATTGTATTCCAGGTGAAGCTATGGCACATCCCGGACGGCGGGCTGTCCATGCACCTGACGGAGTGGCTGGTGGAGCTGCAGGGCCACAAGCGCCGCGTCGCCTACATCGAGTGGCATCCCACCGCCGAGAACATTCTGCTCAGCGCTGGATTCGATTATTTGGTAATCTTACTAATATTATAAATGTGGAAGTTTTGAAGAATGGATGTTATGTAGCCTAAATGGATATCTATGAAATTTGCCATAGATCTAGAGAGTCTGGAAGAACACATCTATATACTGATGTTTTTTTAATTCCACGCGGACGGAGTCTCGGACAAAAGTTAGTAGACCAACGAACTTAAATGACTAACCCTGGAGATATCCAGCAAATTTAAATTGATTAATATTGTTTATATATAGTTTTATGTTGGCCATTTTGTTACTAAAAGTAATTAACACCTCGTAATCCTCAATAAATATCGCGGAAATAGAAATAATTGATCATTTTATGTGTATAAAACATATGTCATTTAATATAATATAACGTTAAGTGTGTATGAACACGCGAGATTAATTGGACGGTATTAAATGGACTTCGCGTGATGTGACTCACATTAACTGGTCGTTGTACAGTTTGCCGCTCAACGCTGTTGTTTCATAATATATGGGTTTTCGAATATATCGATACACATTACTTTTATTAGGAACTTTGTTTAAAAGATCTTGATTTTTTCTGACCCAAAAAATGAAGTTTCAACATTAATTTGTTTGAAAATGTATAGTGTAAGTATGTTTGTTTGAAAAACAGCGGTTTAAATATATTTTTTGTTTGGAAACGTATTGGAGAAAAACTCCTTGTAGTAGACAGTTAAGGTTTATAGGAAAAAATAGAAAACTACTCTGAAAATCTTATCTATATTGACAACTTGCTTAACAAAACATAAAATGAAAATAATTAACTTCTGCATAAACGTAAATGTTACTAATATAAATGCTAAAGTTAGGATGGATGGATGGATGTTTGTTTGTTACAGTTTGTATCCTAAACAGATCTGGATGAAATTTGGCATAGATGTGGTCTGGAAGAACACATAGGCTATTTACTTTTTTTTATGCCGCGCAGACGGATGTGCGAAAGCTAGTTAAAACATAAATTAACCTCAATGTAATATGTTTGCAGATAATGGTGTGGGACGTGGGGCAGGGCGCGGCGGTGCGCGTGCTGGAGTGCCACAGCGACGTCATCTACTGCATGTCCTTCAACCGCGACGGCTCGCTGCTCGCCACCACCTGCAAGGACAAGAAGCTGCGCGTCATCGAGCCCCGCCGCGG